CATTGTCCTCATCCATAGGTGCACAGTTTATGTTCAGTCTCTTCCCACATCCCCCTCTCCCCTTTTCCCCAAGAATCGTCAGTTCACTCCCCTTCCATACCTCTGATTCTATTATATTCACCAGTTAATATTGTTCATCAGATTTTTTTTTAATTTCCTTGGTTTTTAGATTCACTTGTTGATAGTTACGTATTTGTTGTTCATAACTTTTATCTTTATTTACTTTCTCTTCTGAAAGAACCCCTTTCAGCAATTCATATAATTCTGGTTCCAGGAAGGGAGCCTACTGTGCGTTGATTGCTGACTGTGTGACAAGTCCTGGGATAGGTTTCTTACAGACTCCTGTCCCCCTGTAACATTGGTGCTTTTACACTTACAAATGGCCAAGATCACTTAGCTACGTGACTGACCCAGATTCAAACCCACGTTGGTCAGCCTGCAAATTGTCTGTCACCTGCTCTGTCACACACCCAGTTGTGGCAGCCGGACAGTCTGTGACTGTAACATGAAAAGCACCCTTGACTGAGGCCTTTGTCCCACATGCCCAGGAGGCGATTTTTCAAAGGTGTGTTCTGCGTTGGGGGTGAGGAGGAGAGGTCAGCCAAAGTTTAGCTTGTGGCAGGAGCAACTGGTCAAAAGCCAAATTATTCTTGTGGGTTAGCAACCATGTTCAGGCAGTCTGGATTTGTCAAGATGCATGGGGAGGAAATTAGGGGCCAAGGTCATGAGTAAGGAGAGGTGGGGAGGGACAGGGACAGGCAAAACTCTAAGGCAGCAGGATGAGGAAGGACCAGCTTATGGGCCATATAAGGCCCGCGACTTCATTTGGTCTGACCCTGCCAAGACAACCATAGGTGAGACTCGAAATTCAATAAATCTAGGAGCTTTCTTCATAGCAACATAGATTTATATTAAGTGGAGAACGAGGAAGGGAAAGGGAGAGAGAGCAAGAGAGAGAGAAAAACCTGAAACCAGGTATGCGCCCTAACCGGGAATTGAACCCACAGACCCTTGGTGCACAGGACAATGCTCCAACCAACTGAGCCACACCACCAGACTCATTTTCTTTTTTTAATCTTTTAAATATATTTATTTGGCCGAAACCGGTTTGGCTCAGTGGATAGAGCGTTGGTCTGCGGACTGAAAGGTCCAGGGTTCGATTCCGGTCAAGGGCATGTACATTGGTTGCGGGCACATCTCCAGTAGGGGGTGTGCAAGGGGCAGCTGATTGATGATTCTCTCTCATCGATGTTTCTAGCTCTCTATCCCTCTCCCTTCCTCTCTGTAAAAAAATCAATAAAATATATTTAAATGTATTTATTTGAAGTCTACTGAACTATTGTTTAGTTCCCAAATAATATTTTTATTTTTCACATTGAAGAGTTAACTGTATAATAACTGTATAATAATAGATAAACTTAGTTTGATTTTTTTTTCAAATCCATTCTTTATAAAAGGTTGGTTTTTGTACAGCTGAAAATATGGTTAGTTATTTGCTAAACAAATGTAAATTATCCACTCAGTGCATTTTTTTCAAAAGGATTCTGATCCCTGATGATTTTCTTATACAAATCAACATGTTTTTTTTAATTGCTTTATCTGTCATCATGTATAATAGAATGTAATCAGGGAAATGATGCTCATGTTTTAGTAGTCTAAGTAAAACATAAAAAAGGAATGCAAATTTCCTGAATTAAAATATAAAAAACTTGCTGAAACTGGTTTGGCTCAGTGGATAGAGCGGCGGCCTGCAAACTCAAGTGTCCCAGGTTCGATTCCGGTCAAGGGCATGTACCTTAGTTGCAGGCACATCCCCAGTAGGGGGTGTGCAGGAGGCAGCTGGTCGATGTTTCTCTCTCATTGATGTTTCTAACTCTCTGTCCCCCTCTCTCTCTCTCTTCCTCTCTGTAAAAAAACAATAAAATATATTTCTAAAATATATATATATAAATACTTTATAATTATGGATCAAGTAGATTAATTCTGATCTGTATCTTTATATATATATATATATATATATATATATATTTTTTTTTTTTTTTTTTTTTTTTTTTTGTACAGAGAGGAAGGGAGAGAGATGAGAGAGAGTCATCAATCAGCCGCCTCTTGCACACCCCCTACTGGGAATATGCCCACAACCAAGTTACATGCCCTTGACTGGAATCGAACCCGGGACCCTTCAGTCCCCAAGGCAATGCTCTATCCACTGAGCCAAACCAGTTTCAGCTCTGATCTGTATCTTTAATCTCAAAAGTATGTGATTGATCATGAGTAAAGAAAAGTGTATACATCCGGACAAATATGTCTGGGTTTCGTAAGCATTGAATTTCATATGAGCCTTCCAGATGGAGCAAGTGTGATCACTTTCTTCAGTTCAGACCAAGGCAAAAAAATAAATAAATAAAAAATCTCGAGAACAGACAGGAGAAACCAAGATGGCGGCATAGGTAACCGCCTAACTGCAGCCTCACACAATAATTTCAAAAAATACAACTAAAATATAAAGTGGACATTATCCAGAACTACAGGAAAGTTGACTGACTGGAAATTCTACAACGAGAAGGAAAGAGAAAACCAGAAGGAAAATCAGAGGAGCTGTAAAAGCCTAAGGTATGAAGACACATTGCGTGCTCAGAGAGGACGGAGCCGGAGAGGAGGGGAGGCTGAGTGCCTGGCTGGCGTTCCCTAGCGGGAAGGAGATAAAAGCTCCGGAATGTGCTGAACCCAGTTCCGACAGCACTGAACCCCAGTTCTGAGCAAGACCCTGGGGACCCAGACACATACAGAGGGAATCTGGGCTGTAAGGCGGAAGCTCGGGAGTGGCGAAAGGCAGAGCCTGAGAGTCACGCACATTTCGCACAGAGGACAGACTGTTGATTGAGCCGCTGGATTGCCCTAGCGGGAAGGAGACATAAGCTCCGGACTGCTCTTAACCGCACTTCCAACTGCACTGAACCCCAGTTGTGAGTTCATTGGGGGAGAGAGTAGACTGTCTGGTAGTGGGCAAAACTCTAGGGCACCTTATTCTCAGAGGTGCTTGCAGTGAGTACCAAAGGACACTGAAGAACACTGAGACTCAGAAACCTCATAGGGCGGGACTAACCAGAAGCCAAAGCTGTAGGCTCCACCCTGAAACTCCGCCCCATCCAAGCTGAGCACAGAGGCTCTTGCAGTTTTCCAAGTCTAGTCAAATAAGGCTGTCTCCTGGCATAGATACAGCTGTTCCTCCCACCCTACCAACTCAGGGAAGCAGCGAAAATGCTGAGACAAGGAAACAGATCACAAACGAAAGAAATGGAGGACAAAAAGCAACTGGATATAGAGTTCAAAACCACGCTTATAAGGTTTTTCAAGACTCTCCTAGAAAAGGCCGATAAAATAAACAAGACCTATGAAAATATGAAAAGGGATCAACTAGAAATAATAAAGGATCAACTAGAAATAAAGAATACATTCTCTGAAATAAAAAATATTATACAGAGTCCTAAAAACATAATGGAAGATTGCAAGAATCAAGTCAAAGATTTAGAACACAAAGAGCCAGAGGACACTCCTCCGCAGAAGCAAGAAGACAAGAGAATCCAGAAAGTTGAAGATAATGTAAGAAACCTCTGGGACAACTTCAAGCGAACCAACATCAGAATTATGGGCGTACCAGAAGATGACAGAGAGCAAGATACTAAAAACATATTGAAAGAAATAGTGACAGAAAACTTCCCCCACTTGGTGAAAGAAATAGACTTACAAGTCCAGGAAGCGCACAGAACTCCAAACAAAAGGAATTCAAAGAGGACTACACCAAGACAAATCATAATTAAAATTCTAAGAGCAAAAGACAAAGAGAGAATATTAAAAGCAGCAAGAGCAAAGCAGGTAGTTACCTATAAAGGAGCACCCATACGATTATCAGCTGATTTCTCAACAGAAACCATGCAGGCCAGACAGGAATGGCAAGAAATATTCAAGGTGATGAATAACAAGAACCTACAGCCAAAAATACTCTACCCAACAAAGCTATCACTCAGAATCAAAGGCCAGATAAGGAGCTTCACAAATAAAAAAAATAAAAAAAAAGCTAAAGGAGTTAATCACCACCAAACCAGAATTATACGAATTGCTGAAGGGGGTTCTTTAGGAAGAGGAAGAAAATAAAGATAAAAATTACAAACAACAAATACGTAACTATCAACAAGTGAATCTAAAAACCAAGGGAATTTAAAAAACCTGATGAACAATATTAACTGTTGAATATAATAGAATCAGAGGTATGGAAGGGGAGTGGACTGACGATTCTCAGGGAAAAGAGGAGAGGGGGGTGCGGGAAGAGACTGAACATAAACTGTGCACCTATGGATGACAGTGGGGGGTGGGGAAAGGGCAGAGGGTGGGGTGGGAACCTGGTGGAGGGGGAAAAAATGAGGAACTTTCGTAATAATATGAACAATAAAGATTTATTTAAAAATTAAAAATAAATTTTAAAAAATCCCAACAAGCAGTCAGGCTTAGAGAACAAGAGTACATTTCACTGATCGGTAAATTGTTGTCATTGCTTCTATCTGGTAGGAACTTTATCTTATCATTTCTGTGAATATAATTTCACCAAAGTCTGGTCTCAGGGTTCTTATAGTTTATATAGGAAACTATAAAAAAAAAAAAAACTGAAATGGTTCCAGAAGATACTTCAGAATTCTTATCCATTACTAGAGGCCCAGTGCAAGAATTTGTACATGGGTGGGGTCTGGCTGGCCCACTCCAATGGGGGTCCATCAGGCTGGGTCGGCAGGGGTAAGGGGCCATAGGTGGTTGCCAGCCAGCCCCGCCCCCGGTTGGGGTGTTGGGGGTCAATTGGGGCCTGGATCAGGCTGGTTGGCTGCTGCAGTGCACATCATAGCCACCAGTCGTCTGGTCGTTCTGGTTGCTGGGCTTTTGTATAGAGAGCATGTCCATTTTAATGTCAACGGCTATGTATCTAAAAGCCCCTCTCTTCCATCAGGTGTGCTATGTCTCTGGCTGGCGCAGCAGGCACCCATGGCGATGAGCACTTCCCCGCCCCGGCCCTGGGAGGCAGCCTGCTGCCCAAGGAGCCCGGGGGCAGCCCCAGCCTGGCCGACCTGCCCAGGGATGGCAACGCCTCCGATAAGAGCGTCGAGTACAGCAGATCTCAGTGCTCCTGCAGCCTAATTTCTTATTATGATTACTCAGAAGACTTTCTCTCCGACTGTTCAGAAACACCCACTAATGAAAACAGCCACTATTTAGAGAAGCCTGTGATAGAGGAAAAAAAGGAGAAGAAAGACCACGTTTCTGAACTCTTCCAGCCTAAAGGTAAGCAAAATGTCCCAGCCGAGACCCGCGGCCTGCTTACAGTGACACCATTACTTAACGCACTAACATCTGAAATGGCCGCATTCACTTTTATTACCTTTCCATACTGTCAACGTGTATTACAAGCCAAGTTTTACGGAAGGGAGTTTGGAAGTAGAGAAATTAAGAATAATTACGAAGGGCTGTGCTTTGCTGGTTACCTTTCCCACGAGCAGGATGGGCTGCGCTTGGTGCAGAACTTGAAGCTTGGAATTTAGTCTACTTTCACAGAAGGCTTATTTTTTAAATCTGCTTTTTGTGTTCAGAAAAAGAAACTAGCCAAAAATGGTCATGCCCTCAATAGATGTTTGATGACAAAAGGAAAAGAAAAAAAAAGAGTAATTACAGGATAACCGAGAGCTGGTTGGAAGTGTCTCGCCAGCCCCCTGCTCGCTGACCCGCTGGCGTCCACAGTGAGGCTGGTTCCCTTTCTAGCCAACAGGTGGCCTTGTCACAGAGCACCTCGGTGCTTGGATTTCAGTGGCCTCCTGCCTTGCATCTCAGCGGCAGAACTATGGTTTGAGTCACCAATGAAATACCAATTCCTGTCTCAACAGCCCGAGAAGATGTTCTCCAGCTCTGGTGAGGCATATCGGCAGCGATAACCTTGTGAAACAGAGATGGCGAAAGGCTGTTGGTTATGTCATTTCCCTGTGGATTTTAGAAGTGCCAACACCTTCAACCCCTACCTGTCCAAACTGGAATTAGCCTGGTGATGGCCTGACCGCCTCACTCCCTGCCTCCCCGCCCAGACTGTAATCACTCCCTCCCACCTCAGGCAATCCTGGGCCGATAAATACTGTGTATGTGAGAAAGAGCCGGGACTTCCCCACCGTGACCATGGGAACTGCCGTGAGTCAACAGGTGGGAAGTAACTAGCAGCCTGTACGTGTGGGCACATCTGTCACATTTACCCAGTAGCTGTCGCCCCAGCCTGATTAGGACACTGAGCCATGTCTGCGTCGTCTACAATCTCCAGCTCCCCCTCTTCCTAGCTGGAGAGCGGGGGCTCCTGACCCCAGACCCTTGCCTGTGAACCCCAGGAGCCTCCATGCAGAGTTCCAATTGTGACCTCTTCTAGGGAGAAGAGACCACAGCTTGCAGCAGATTCTCAGGAGACTAGAAGCCCCTTTTCTAGAAGGTGGGAGTCCCAGACCCCCTGGGAAGGCCTGGGGCGGAAGGCGGAAAGCCAGCACCTCTCTCTTAGCGGGACTCTGGCCTTGGAAGCAGTTACCATCCATCGCACTCAGCTTCCATGGTTACACGACCCTAAACTGCACTGGAAACTTAGGAAGCTCTGATAACCACACATGTTCCCCATGTTTGGCACCAGAACTACTTTAGCAACAAAAACCAGATTTGGGCCGTGGCCAGGTAGCTCAGTTGGTTAGAGCATCGTCCTGATACGCCAGGGTTGCAGGTTTGGTCCTCGGTCATGGCACATAAAAGAATCAAACAATAAATATATAAATAGTGGGAAAACAAAATCAATGTTTATCTCTCCCTCAAAATCAATTAATAAAATGTTTTATTAACATCAAAGATCATGTTCAAGTCCCAGCTTAGAAAAGCAAGGCTTACGGCAGAAAGATATTTCATAGAGAAAAAAATTATAAGGCTGAAATGAGGACTTCAATTTGATAGGATTTTTGCTTTGGTCAAGTATTAAGAGGTTTATCTAAACCAATGTAAATAATAGCAAGCAATATATATCTACAATTTAATTTTTTAAAATCGTATCTTTTGTAGAAAATGTACTTTCAGCACTCTTTCAATTATATAGGGTAGGGCCAAAGTAGGTTTAGAGTTGTTCATATGGACAATAATACAATAATTAATAAATAATAACATTACAAAAACAGACTCAGAGAAAGAGAAGCACTGAACAGACTTTCAAACCTCAGAGGGAAAGTAGGGGAGGGTAGGAATAAAGGGGAAGAGGTCAACCAAAGGACTTATGTACATGCACATGGGCCTGGCCAGTGGCCATGGACAAAGGGAGAGGGGGGGCATATGTAGGGAGGGGCTTGGGATGGGATTGGGGGGATGAGGACAATTATGTGATACCATCATCAAAGAAAAAAAAAATGAGGAGAAAAAAGAAGCGTAGGTACCTGATTTTTTAAAAAGTCATCTTGGAGCAAAAAGGATAGGCATTACTATTATCATGATTTTTTTGTAAATCAATCAAAATTATACCTATTTTTTGCCAGATTGGCAAAAACTATATTCTTTTTGGTGTGCTGCAGAATATTATTAATTAGTTTTCATGTGCCATGACATTAAAAATGTTGAAAATTAAAAATAAATAAATAAATAATAACTCAAGAATAAACTGTGTGTCACGCACTCACGGCTATAAACCTACTTTGCCCCACCCGTTTATTCTTCTTGGATGTGTTTTGCTGATACAGTGCCAAAATATGCGGTAGTCATTCAAAAAATGGGTATGCCGAAAAGGAAGTTATTTCACCGCATGCGAGCTCCAGCAGACCTTTGGCCCTGCTGTCTGTAGTCAGGTGCAGGTAGGAGATGGAGGTAGTGTTGGAGACCCCCGCTAGCAGACTGACAGCGGAAACTGTGGAGAACAGAAGGGGAAAGGGCCCTTCCTTTGACCCTCCTCTTACCCTGGTCCTTGGCGGAAGTGGGTAAATACAGCGTTACCTGGAAGAGAGAGAGAACCTGGTGGAGGGCAGCCATGTTCCCGCCTGAGGAGTGATGGGAACATGGCTCAGGATAAGGAGCAGAGCCAGACTGAGGGCATGGAAGGCCCTGACGATAGAACAAGACACTGAAACGAAGAGGAAGAGACCAGAAGAAGCTGAGGGAATGGGGGAGAGGAGAAGGGGGAGAAGACAATAGCTCCTAGACAGGAGGGTGGGCTGACGCGGGAAGGAAGTCTGGCACAGAGAAGCGTGAGTGCAGGCACACTCCTGGAGTGTTCAGAAGAGCGTTGCCTTATGTGATGAGCGTCTTTTTGGTTAACTATGGACTTCAATGTACATGTTTTTATGAACGAACTCAATTTGAGTGTTTTAGCTCAGTGGTTTAAAAATTAAGTGTCCCAAGAGTAATTTAGTCATTAAGCTAAATCTGCCTTAATTGTGTGAAGTGGGATAGAACTTATAAGTTTTACCTTTATTATGTGTGGGTTAGGATAATGAGGTACAAAATCATTAAGGATTAAATCCTGTTTTCATTTTCTACAGGCTTTAGAGTTGTATAAGTATGCATGATATATGTAGAATATGAATTTGTTTTCTACCACTCAAGTGGCAAGTGGTATATATTTATCTTTCTGAAGCAAACTGGTTTGTTCTCTCGGACCTGCCCAGTAGGGTAGGCGAGAAATGTAATCTCAGGTGTGTTTGGGGAGGGGCGGGGAGGGCATACGGAAGGTCTTTCACAGACAAGATTTCCACAAGAGCCTCTGGTCCTTTGTTTTTATCACTTATGTGTTCTTGTCCAAGCCCATGTGATTTTTTTTTTCTTGATTTCAGAGAGGAAGGGAGAGGGAGAGATAGAAACATCAATGATGAGAGAGAATCATTGGTTGGCTGTCTCCTGCACACCCCCTTCTGGGAATAAAGCCCGAAACCCCAGGAATGTGCCCTGACCAGGAACCAATCCAAGACCTCCTGGTTCTTAGGTCGACGCTCAACCACTGAGTCACACCAGTCGGGCCCATTGATCTTTAAAAGGCTGACACCTTCTCTTTTCACAGCACCCATGCCCTCTGTATACATCCCCACCTCTGGCCTTGGCCAGGGCTGTGGTGCTAGTTCCCAGGCTCCTACTCATTCTGACTGCCCACCCTCCAGCCACTTGAATACATGTGAGACAGGGACACAAGTCTCACTGCCCACGTGATCCACCACCCCTCACCCTTCTAGTCTCTGGAGACTCCCTCTCCTGTTCAGGGTCATGTCACCCAAGAGCTGGAAGACAGTACGTACAAGTTGGAGGTCAAGTTCAGTCATGGTGGGCATGGCAAAGAACGTGACACCGCCACCTCCCACCCACTATTTTAGTCCAGCCTGATCACACGGCCTGGGTTTAGGGTTCCCCTGGCCAGTGGCCAGGCTATTCAAGTGGCCTCAACACAACCACAAGCACCTGCTCACTGCCCTTCCCATAGGTGTCAGAGTCTGATCTGCTGTGTTTTCCAATTTTCAATGTTCTTAAAAACTGATTCCAAAATACTCAATATTCAGCCACAGCCCTACTCAACTGCCGCCAGTGGGAAAATGAGTGCCGTTGGAGGCACAGTCGTAAAGACAGTTCACCAGTTATTGATGGTACAGGCACTAATGGTGGTCAAATCCACGTGGTCTTTCACAGCCAACATTCCAACGCTGTGTCCCCGGAAAGCACCAGCTTTCTCTTGGCTCCTTGTTTCCATCGCAGGCAGTCACCTTTCCCATACCAAACATGCGGAGCCATGTCTCAGAGGATGTGTCCACACAAGGACACCAGGGACCTTGGCCATGACATTCCCTCTCTCTCCAGGATGAGCACCAGATATTTTACATTCTAGAATCCAGACTCAGTCTCTCTCAATATAGATATACTAATATGTTCACATGCACACACATTTGTTTACATGCACATATGCACACATACACACACACACATATATATATATTACAAAAGAATATAGATATGAGGCAGTGGTGTAGGCACACACATATGGGTTCTGTTTCACCACTTACTTGTGCCCATTGACAAGTGACATGGCTAAGCATCAGTTTGTTCATCTTTAAAATAGGGTGACAATAAGTGATGTTGCACATACGTTTGACATACTTGAATTCAATTATGTAAGCTTGTAAGTTTGCTGTAACATTGTTTAGAAACATTTTGTCTTAAACTCCTGAACACAAGCCCCCTGACTACTTTATTTAGTGCCCAGCCAAAGTAATGGAAGAAAAAGGGTCTTTGTTGGATGTATTGAAAAATTGAATATCTGTATATATTCTCTAAGCAGTATAATGGTTTTTAATTTTTTTTAAAATATATGAGATGCTCATATATTACATTGGGCTTTAATGTTACACTCTAATTGCCCCATAAGATATTGTTAGAAGGATTACATCTGATAATCTATATAAAACATTTAGTTCAATATCTGACATATGATAGCACATCATAAATGTTATCTATGATCATGAGCTTTAGTTTAGCTTTATAAAAGATATAAAGTACAGGTTTCAGAGTCAAAGAAGACCTGGCTTTCAATCCACTGTGTCACTTCGTGGTTATGTAACCTCGGACAAACAACTAAAAATGTGTAGCTATGAAATAGACTATTACTGACCTTGAAGAACTGCATTAAATGGGATAGCTATATATAAAGTGCCTAGCCGAAGCATGGATATCCATTCAATGTTCGTTCTTTCCCCTTCTAGCTCCCATGAATATGTACATATGTGCAAGAGAGGGGGGGTATATATATTTGCATACCTGCCTATCTATCTGTATAGATAACTAGTAACTAACCGGATGATCTGCTTAACAGGCCAGAAGGAAATCTCGGTTGAAAAAAAGCAGAAGTGGAACGCATCCCTTTTAAATTCCAAAATCAACACGATCACCCAGAGGAGAGAGGCCATGACTCAGCGCGTGCTCTCAGCCCGGCTCCGTAAGATCAAAGAGTTGAAAAACGAATTGAGTGACATTCATCGGAGGATGGAGGCCACGGCCCTGGAGAACCAGCTACTGAAGCAGCTTGAGATTAGGCACCTGAAAGCTATAGGCAGATATGAGACTTCCCAGAATAATGTCCCCCAGATCATGGCCAAGCACCAGAATGAAGTGAAAAGCTTGCGGCAGCTCCTGAAGAAGTCCAAGGAGAAGGAGAGGGCCGTGTCCCGGAAGCTGAAGGAGACGGACAGCAAGCTGCTGAAGACCAAGGACGCGCTGCAGGCGCTGCAGAGCCTCTCGGAGGACCGCAGCCTGGCCCAGCGGGAGGAGCTCACCGAGCGGCTGGCCGTGCTCACCGCCAAGATGGAGGCCAACGACAAGCAGATCCAGGTCCGGGGGCGGGTTCGGGTCCAGCAGGGACACCCAAGGGTGCGGGACGTGCTCTCCCAGGGCTCCCTCTGCAGGGCCCGGGGAGGGGGCTCACTGGGAGGCAGACACAGCCCAGGCTTGCGCGTGGCTCTGACACAGCGAGCAGAGGCTCTCCCTCTGAAAAGGATGGTTCTCTTGTTTACGTGCTGAAAAGATGGTGTGTGGAGTGGGGTGGGGAGGGGTGAGGGGGCTGGGGAGGGGGTAGTATAGTGTATCTATGGATTTTCAGAACCTGTTCAAAAAAAAATGTTTATCAAATTCCAGAATATAAAAAACATTCAGCTCAAACATGATATTTATTCTCCAGAGTCGTGCTCAGGAATTGTGTCTCTGCGGTTCTACTTCGTTCTATTATAGTAAATGTCCCTGTAAGAGCCATCACTAACATTGAATTTAAGATTTGCACTTCTCACAAGTGTAATGAGTGCCATTAAAGTCAGAGGTTTTGCCGAAACCGGTTTGGTTTAGGGGATGGAGCATCGACCTGCAGACTGAAGGGTCCCGGGTTCGATTCCGGTCAAGGGCATGTACCTTGATTGCGGGCACATCCCCGGTGGGGGGTGTGCAGGAGGCAGCTGATGGATGTTTCTCTCTCATTGATGTTTCTGGCTCTCTATCCCTCTCCCTTCCTCTCTGTAAAACATTAAGAAAATATATTATTAAAAAAAAAAAAAAAAAAAAAAAAAAAAAAAGGCGGCGCTTTGCTAAAACCGCCCTGGTTACAAGCATTGAAACGTGCCCTGTTCCCAGAACTTGGAGAAGCAGCTGCGCCTGAACACCAAGGCCTTCAGCCGGCAGCTGGCCATCGAGAACCAGAAGACGCTGGCCGCCCAGACGGCCAAGGAGACGCTGCAGGCGGAAGTCAAGCTCCTTCAGCAAAAACTGAAGGTACTTTTACAGCCAGAGGCAGGCTGCTCCCACGGCTAGTCAGCAGGCAGTACAGGGGCGTTCCAAGATATGGGTTTGGCTTTCTTTCTTATGGTTTCCCGTGATGAACCCATTGAACACACCCGCCCGGTGTCCTGGGCTGGGTTCTGACCCTGTTGTCTTCCATTCTGGGCCCGCTCTGGGGTGGGGACCGACTGAAACCTTCGTTCCCAGCATGAAGGGGACTGTCCTTCGTGTTCCTTCCTTTGACCCAGCCATCCCGCACCTGCCAGCCAGCAGCTCTTGGCCTGCCTCTTCCTGCCCTCCGCTGCTGACATGCAGGCTGACCCTCAAATAGAAAGATATAACTGAATTTTCTAGATCATCAAAACTTGCCCCTCTAAACATCAAGACCTTTTTTTGTCCCTCTTCACTCCCCATCCCTGGGCCCTTTCCTCCTGGGCTTTCCTCCCTGCTCAGACGTGGGAGACATCCTGAATTCACAGCCCTGATGCTGGCGGGCGTGCCTCTTGGTGTAGGAAGCAGTGTTCGGTATTTAATTGAATCTTTTTGTTCCTCAACAAGCCAGCATTTCAGACCTTTCATTTTGCTGAGACTTTTAAAAGAATATTGGGATAAAGCAGAACAGTGATGTCTGTCCTAGCCTTCCCCCTGCTGCACGTGCTGGGTTGCTGCAGTCCTGGGTAGCAGCATGCTCTCAGATGATGGGATGTTCTGTCTGCATTGCCCAGGACCGTGGTCAGCAGCTACGTGTGCTAGTGTGCCTGAGGACTGAATTTTTTAGTTTAGTTTAGTTTAATTGGCTTATTTTTATTTTTCACTTACAGTTTACTTTCAATATTATTTTGTATTGGATTCAGGTGTACAACATAGTGGTTGGACACCCATATATTTTACAAAGTATTTCTCCCCGCTCCCCCCCCACCCCAATATTTCCAATACCCATTTGGCACCATACATAGTTATTGACTATATTTTCTGTTGTACCTTATGCCCCCATGCCTGTTTTGTAACTACTGAACTGTACTTCTCAGTTCTTTCACCCCGTCCTCCTATCCCTCTCCCCTCTGTGTCTATATGAGTCTGTTTCTATTTTGTTTATTTTCTTTCAATTTCACATATAAGTGAAATCATATGGTATTTGTCTCTGACTGACTTATTCATTTAGCATAATACCCTCTAGGTCCATCCATGTGACACAAATGGTAAGATTTCATTCTTTTTTATGTTTTTTAATTAGTTTAAGTTAGGACATGGCTGGTGGCCACTATATTGCCCCATGCAAAAGAATAAGAAACATGGAAAATCGAAAAAAGTGAAAGAAGCTAGCTCAGAAATTTTTCAAAAACATTGTCCATCACAATAATATGTTACTGTTACAAAGAGGGTTTTTTTTTATGTCAGGAATGATACGTAATGTTATGGCTTATTTCTATTTCTGCTAGAAATACAGACTTTATTCAAAGAATTCTGAACTTGCCCTAGCCAGTGTGGCTCAGTTAGTTGGAGCACTGTCCCATGCACCAGTAGGTCACTGGTTCAATTCCCAGTCAGGGCACATACCTCGGTTGAGGTTTGATCCCTTTTGGGGCACATATGGAGGCAACAGTTTGATGTATCTCTCTCACATTGATGTTTCTCTCTCTCCTTTCCTCTCTAAAATCAATAAAAATAAATATAATAAAAAGTAAAAAAGATATGCTCTAAAAGAAATAAAATATTGAACTCAAATTGTTTTTTAGAAGAAATCAAAGTTGATAAAAAACAAATACTTATAGAAAAATTGGTTTTGTGGTTCTTTTTAGGAGAAAGATCGAGAGCTTGACATAAAAAACATCTATACTAATCGGATAGTGAAAAATTTACATGACAAAGAAGAGTATCCAATAGGTATGTTTTATCTATTTTTCCTCAAAATCTATTCTTTTTTAAAATATATATATTTTATTGATTTTTTACAGAGAGGAAGAGAGAGGGGTAGAGAGCTAGAAACATCGATGAAAGAGAAACATCGACCAGCTGCCTCCTGCACACCCCCTGCCGGCAACCAAGGTACATGCCCTTGACTGGAATCGAACCTGGGACCCTTCAGTCTGCAGACCGACGCTCCATTCACTGAGCCAAAGCGGTTTTGGCTCAAAATCTATTCTTAAGTATCTAGTCAGATTTTTCTACCTTATACCACCAAAATAATGGATGTTTAAAAAATCACTTTATTAGTCATTGAAACACCTCTGGTGACTAGGAGAACAATAAAACTGTGCTATGGCTGCAACAACTAGAGAAGAACAGAAATCCGTTCCTGTCTCCCCGCCCTCTGCTCAGTCCTGCTTGTTACTTCAGGTCCAGTGAAGAGAGGACTTCTCAGCTTGAAGCAAAGTGGCTGCCAGATGTTGAACTTGCTAAGAATATCTACTAGCCAGAGTGCGGATGTAAAACTCAGCGTCAGCCTGGCCGGTATGCTCAGTGGCTGAGCATCGGCCTATGAACCACAGTTCAATTCCCGGTCAGGGCACTTGCCAGGGTTGCAGGCTCAATCCCCAGTGTGGGGCATGCAGGAGGCAGCCAATCAATGATTCTCTCTCATCATTGATGTTTCTCTCTCTCTCTCCTTCTTCCTTCCTCTCTGAAATCAATAAAAATATTTTTTAAAATAAATAAGAATCAACTTTAGCCCTGGCCAGTGTGGCTCAGTTGGTTGGGCATCATCCAGAGCTGGTTCGATTCCCGATCAGGACACAGGCCCGGGTCCCCGGCTCAATCCCTGGTACAGGTGTGCAGAAGGCAGCTGATAGAAATTCCACTATCACATTGATGTTTCTCTCTCTCTTTCCCTCTTCCTTTCTCTCTCTAAAAATCAATTGAAAATCATTTAAAGAATAAATTTTTAAAAATAAATACTTTATTGAATTACAGCTTACCTCACTAAAATGCCCCCATTTTAGGAGTGCAGTTCAGAGGGTTTTGGCAAATGCATGTTTAACCCCATGTAACCACCACCACAGTCAAAGCACGGAGCTCTTCCCTCCCCTGGGGAAGTTCCCGGTGCCCACTTTGCGCCCAGTAGCCCCCATCCCTGTCCCGAGGCACCGCTGAATCCCTTCTGTCCCAGCAGCGTGGTGTGCCTGTTCCAGAGCTCCAGGAACTGGGATCCTAAGCAGCTGCTCTTTTGTCTGGCTCCTCTTGCCAGCATCATGTTTCTGAGATCCATCCGTGTTGCTGCTACTGTCATTGGTCCCTTCGACTCCTGAGCAGCACTTTCTCCTCAAGACAAGATGCGCTTGCTTCTCACCCCAAAAGAGCCCCAGCCTCACACTGGGGTCTCTCAGCCTGTTTCAGTAGAAGTAACTACACACTCACCTGTTTTTAATGTGTTTTTATTGACTTCAGAGAGAGGAAGGAAGAGAGAGAAACATCAATGATGAGAGAGAATCATTGATCAGCTGCCTCCTGCACACCACATACCAGGCATGTGCGCTAACTGGGAATCGAACTGTGGCCTCCTGGTTCATAGATTGACGCTCATCCACTGAGCCACACCAGCCGGCTCTTTTAAAGGCAACGACCTCACATTTCCTTGCATTCCTTTGTTTGCCTCTGGTTTACAATCCGGAATAACAGCTAGCAGAGAAAATGACAAAACCACCCACGAGGGCCTTTAAGTGGGAGAGAAAGAGTGATTACGCCCCTTCGCCAGGCCGCCCAACCCTTGGTCAGAGGCAGGAGGTCCGGCCGGTGGACGGGGGCAGTGCTCGCTCTCACAGCTGCGTGTCTGAGTCTGAGTCTTGGCTGCAGGCAGGGACAGGCTTGTCCTCGAACAGCCACGCAGACCCATCCTCATGCCAGCTTGCTTTGGACGCGGCCGCTGGGACACCCATAATAAGACAAAAGTGAAGTGGTGGGAGGAAGATGATGGTGGCAAATGTCGCACACAGGTGGAGAGGTTTTGGAAAGCATCTAGTGCCCTTTGCTTCATTATGCTGCAGTGTCACTTTATACTCGCAGTCAGTCTTGCTTCCAAATATGAGACATGTTTCTCCTATGCCGTGTACTTGTTCTGCAGTTTCTTCAACAAAATCCGTGCAGACAGACAGGAAAAGTGTTCCATTTCCCAGTACGAGACAACAGGGCACCCAGAAATCAGAAGACGTGTCGTCTTTGACTAAGGTACAGCCAATCTGAAATCTTGCAACATCTAGTTAAACATTTCTTTACAAAACAGGCTACAGTCATTTGGCCTATACAAAAAAGTATTTGTATTCATTGAATTAGATACAATTTAAAATTATCTGGACCCAAAAGATGAGCCTTTGCCGCTTTTCTGAATTCTAGGGTAAAAAGACAGCAGGAAACACGGGTCATAAAGAAAAAGCCACTGGCCTAGTCCATGTCATTCCTCACAGTGGCAGTAAACTAGCAAGCCAGGAGGAGTCCAAGAGAAAATATGAAGGTGATTTAGCAACTTTTAAGTCATAGTTATTCTTTTTGTGTGTGTAAGCTGTGGATTCTGTATGTCCGGGTATAAAGTATACATAAGGCAGATATACTGTTCAAGGGATGATTATAGAATTTAACCCTGTGCGGCCACCGGCCCTAACAGATGGAACGTTAGTCCCAGAACACACCGGGGCCCTTCCCAACCACATCCCCTCCCGCCCGCCAGAAACAGTCTGCCTTCTGACACCACACTCATTCCTTGCTTTGCCTCCCGATCCCTTGTCCTGTGTGTGTCCGTAAGCATTATGTTCACTCCTGACAAGCTGAGTGGCAGACAAACCAGCGGAGTCATGAGACCACCCGAAGACTTCCAGGGAGGGTCAGCGGGGCAGACTCTGGCTCCTGGCCCCGGATGTACAAGGGCCCGTCAGGCTGAGGCCCTGCACCGCCCTGGGCCCAGAGAGCCCAGCACACGCGGCCTCCGGCGGGGCCGTTCTGCGGGGCCGCCTCCTGAACACCCCCCACTGGGGATCGAGCTCTCAACCTTGGCGTGTGCCCTTGACTGGAATCGAACCTGGACCCTCCAGTCCGCAGGCCAGTGCTCTATCCACTGAGCCAAACTGGCCAGGGCTCACCACTAATTCTTTTTTTTTTTTTTTTAATATATTTTATTGATTTTGTACAGAGAGGAAGGGAGAGAGATAGTTAGAAACATCGATGAGAGGGAGTCATCGATCAGCTGCCTCTTGCACACCCCCTACTGGGGATGTGCCGGCAACCAAGGTACATGCCCTTGACCGGAATCGAACCCGGGACCTTTCAGTCCCTAAGCTGACGCTCTATCCATTGAGGCAAACCGGTCCCGGCTCACCACTAATTCTTGAAACATACTTCGTCTCTTGCTAGAATTCCTCTCATTATTTTCAAGTATACACGAACAGTTTCATCTCAGAGTGTGTGGAATATGCGGGAAATTGTCCAGCTCTGCACACCCAGACTGTCCCTCCCCCACAATGACTGCCACTCTGCGTTGTGAATGATGGCCTCCTCTCATCAGCTCCTTGGCCGTGGCTGCGGGGCTGTGCCTGCAGCAGGCCTTCCCCAGGGGAGGGGAGGAGAGGAGAGGGGAGGGCTGCCGGCTGTTCCAGACAGCACACTGAAACCTCTTCCTGTCAAGGCACATCCATGCCCATCGCTCGCTCTCACGCATGCCCAGGATCCCGCAGGCTGCACATGCCGCCATGCATTTACCCGGGGCCCCCTGACGGCATCTAGGACGTTCTGCTGTCACTTAGCCGTACTCGGTAACACCCTTACACGGCGTGCCAGTGTGTGTGTGTTAGGGTTTGGTCCCAGAAATGAAGTTGTTGAGGCCAAGGACATGTTCACTCAAAATTGTAATGGTCCTGCCACACTGCCACCAGATAAAGCTGTGCCAGGTTACACACCCGCTCATGGGGAACAGGGCCCAATTTCCCGTCCCCCCCGCTCTGGAGATGACCTGCCTAGTGGGCAAAAATATCTTTGTTTTAACTGGCACTGTGTCCAGCTTAGTGGAGTTTGAACATCTAGTAATAACCTATTGGCAGATTTTAATTCTTTCAGGAATGTCATTTCTTTTTTGGTTTCATCTTTCTCCTTTGGAATGTTTAGGAGAGTGCATATTCCTGCCTGTTATCAGCACCTTTCTGCAGTCTAGTGTTACATGCTCTTTTGTTATATTGCCTCGTCTTTTCTGTCACTTTTAATGTCCTGTCAGGAGGTGTAAGTGCGGCAAACACGCATGCCATCTTGGAATAAAAGCCAGTATTCTAAAGATCACCAAATTGACTCTTTTTCCTACTACAGATTTATCAAAGGAAGAGGAACACCCGAGAGTACCAGCAGCCCTGGAGAACACTGGAAGACAGAGGGAGAGACAAGCGGATCAGAAGAGAACCACGTTAGAAAAGGAACAAGAACTGCCGTCCAAAAGAATCCAGGTCTCTCACCCTGAGCGGGGAAGCCAGCAGGAAAACGATGCGAAAGAAGAGCTGGAAAAGGGCGACATGGACGAGGCACCGAGTAGGAGGGCCCAGAACGCCAAGGCACGCCTCCGGCAGAGAAAGCATTACCTGTTCACGGAGGCCACGGAAAACCTGCATCACGGGCTGCCCGCCTCGGGTGGGCCGGCCAGGCCAGGCGTCTGGAGGTGCAACCACAGCACAGGCCGACGGCTGGCGCCCAGGCCTGCTGGGTGCGGGTACGAGCCCTCCTTCGGGAATCCCCCCAGAGCAAAGGCGAGAGACGCGGCCTTCAGAGAAAAGAAGAGCCATCTGCTGGAGGAGCTCTTTGGGTCAGGCCGCGTCTTTAAAAACGGCCCCGAGAGCGCTGCCCACGAAGGGTCTGAGGAGGCTTGGAAAAGTAAGAAGATGCAGCAGCCGCCCCCGAGTCAGGCCTCTGCCCGCAATGCTTTTGGAGATTCTAAAGTAACTGTGGCGAATTCTGTTCAGCCATCATCACCGACAGAAGGAAAAGTGAAGATAATTATTTAAATAAAATGGATATTCTAATACATTCTGGTCTATTCCGGTTCTTTTGTGCCTGGAATTTTGTACTCTGTGTGTGTGTGTGTTTTTTTTTCGGTACATAAATTGAATTTGTATAATTAAGATTTTGTTTTATTGCTAATCTAATTTTATTTTATTTTTTTAATATATATATATATATATATATTTTTTTTTTTTTTTTTTTTTTACAGAGAGAAACGGAGAGGGATAGAGAGTAGAAACATTGATGAGAGAGGAACATCGACCAGCTGCCTCCTGCACACCTCCCACTGGGGATGTGCCCACAGCCAAGGTACATGTCCTTGACTGGAATCGAACCTGGGACCTTTCAGTCCGCAGGCTGACACTCTATCCACTGAGCCAAACCGGTTAGGGCGCTAATCTAATTTTAAAATTCCATTTTATATTAGACATTGACAACATTTCAAATACAAAATGACACCTTTTTTTTCCTATAACTGAAACTGCCCATTTTTTTCCTCTCTATTAAAAAAAATCAATAAAATATATATTTTTTAAAGACTACAAATGGCATAAGCTTTGACCTTTGTGAAAACTACAGTGGGGGAAAATGAGGGAAGGAGAGAGGGGGGAGAGGGAAGAGACAACACTTATAATTCTCATTGGCTTACATAGGGGACTATGCAAATGCACATGAAATAATTGCCTTGCCCTAAATTCTGGATAAATTTACTAAAATATTCTTAGATATGGTGTAATAGTACAATATTACAATGTCTACTCCCGATAGCAGATGGGAGTTTTCAGGGGACCTTTTGTTAAACCTACCCACAAAAGCACAATCACATTAAATCAGAACTACCTAGAAGTGCTTCTGTAAGGCACTATTTAATAAAATATAATCTAAGCTTATTATTTTCTAGTTATCTAATTGAGATTATTTTAAAGATATATGCATAAGATAATAAAATGCTAACTTCTATCTCTAAGGAAGGAGATTATGGCCCATTTTTAGTTTATTTTCAGTGTACTTATTTCCAGTGTATTTTCTATGCTTCCTATACTGACTATAGCTGTATAATAGGAAGGAAAAAGTTTTTAATAAAAAGAGACCCAGCCTGGCCAGTGTGGCTCAGTGGCTGAGTGTTGACCCATGCACCAGGAGGTAGCTGGTTCGATTCCAGGTCAGGACACATGCCTGGGTTGCATACTCTATCCCCAGCAGGGGGTGTGCAGGAGGCAACTAAGTGATGATGTTTCTCACTTTCCCTCTCCTTTCCTCTCTTTCTCTGAATCAATAAAAACATTTTTATAATAAATATTTTAATTAACTCAAGCACCAAAGCATAAATGTTAATATTTGATTATAAGAAAACAGCATTTCCCCCTCTTCCCCCCATGTGTTAACATATATCCAGCATTTGGCTTATGGAAATAATAACCACTTTAAATGAAATATTTTAGACACTTGGATGTAGAAAGTGCTGAAGAATAAAATACCATTTTACTTTACTGCTACTGAGAGCAAGAATCTGATTAAATCTTCCGTTTTCAACACTTAGCACCACTGACTGTAGAAAAGAGACTGACTAAATTGGTCCACAAAACATTTTAATTCCAGTATATTTTAAATAGAAAAAATTTCACTAATAGAAGTTGTTAAGATTTCAGATTCCTTTTAGTCTGTTCACTGAGAATGAAGACATTTTAAAAATATTAAGAAGAAATTCATTTCCGGTACGCTGTGCTCCTGCTATAAAAAAGCTAACAAGGCCGAAACCAGTTTGGCTCAGTGGATAGAGCGCAGTAGGGGGCATGCAGGAGGCAGCTGATCAATGATTCTCTCTCATCATTGATGTTTCTATATCTCTCTCCCTCTTCCTTCCTCTCTGAAATCAATAAAAATATTTTTAAAATAAATAAAACCACACATATCAATATCCGTAAATGTATGGGATCATCGGAAGAATCATAAGAAACTGGAAACAGTGGAAAATTGGGTGACACAACAGTAAAAAGATCAGGAGATTTTTTTGTCGTTTTTTTATTGTTGAAATTATTAGAGATGTCCTCCTTTTCTCCCCACTAACCCTCTCCACACCACACCAGCCTCCAATGAACTTTTAAATATAACCCTTTCTATGTTCTAAATTCAGTACCAGGTGTGTGTTTTTCCTCATCTGAGGATATTTTTCCTTTTTTGAGAGAGAGAGAGAGAGAGAGGGAGGAAGGGAGAGAGGAGGGAGAGAGGTAGAGGTAGAGATAGAAACACCAAGGTGAGAGGGACACATCAAATGGTTGCCCCCAGCACCCACCCCAACTGGGCCCAGGGAACGAACCTACAGCCCAGATACATGCCCTTGGCCAGGAATTGAACCCAAGACCCTCAGGTCCACAGGCCAAAGCTCTAACCATTGATCACTGGCCAGGGCGATACCAAGTTTATTATCTATTTTAAAACAATTATGTGAAACATGACGAACATTTAAACTTGTCCTATTGAATCTTCATTAGTAACTATTAATGTGTGTGGAAAGCGTTCACAGCTGTGAAATGTAAATCTTTCCCTCTAGCCTCAGCGAAGTCTGTCAAAATGCAGTACTGAGAGGATCTATCCTTAGGAGATAGATAAGGGTCTTGTCAGGGGGGCTTTAAGGGGATTAGTGTCCCAAGGACGTCCTGGACATGCATCTGGCCGCTTGATCGTGACTACACAACCCGTCCAGCTGCCTGCCGCTCACTACACGTGGGCATCAGACTGTGGCCTCTGCGGACCCTGCCAACTTCCCTGTGCGGCTGCCATCTCCCCCTCAGGTTGGCATCTCACCCTTGTGGCCCCGGGTGCCCTGTGGTGACTGGCAGTGGGAGCTGGAGTCGGGTCCTCACAATGGTGTCGGTAGAAACACAGCTGAGCTCCTGGCTCCGCATCCTTCCTCACAGCCACAGCCACCTGCTGCAGGGACGTCTGAATGATCAGGGAACCCGAGACCACTCCGGTCACGATAGATAAAGTAACACTGCACTCTGTCATTTCATGGTACAACTGGCAGAAATCACAGTGAGCTCCCTACTAGGTCATTAAGGAACACAAGAAGATGGTCTTTTCAAAACTAGTGATGGAATCTAGCTTTACGATGCTGCACAGACTTAGTTACTGGTAAAAGCCCTCTGCCCTCTACAAACTGATCAGAGCAAATGAGTGGCTGGAAGGAAGGAAGTCATACAAGCACTTGCAAAGCTTTTAATGAATAAAGAAGTGTTTAAAAATATTTAGCAGAATTATACTTTATGGGCCAAACATGTATCCATTTAAATTCATTTAATCAGGCTTTCTATTTGTATTTTAACTTTGTTCCGTTCTGTGGAGGACAAATATTAAATGCTTATAAATACACTTTATTGGAAATGCTTTAAGTACAAAACACATAATTCAAACACAAAACAACATGTAACGATTTCACGAATACATTTATGAAACGCGGAAATGAAAAAATAACGGCTCCAAATAAGGTGATAATACTCCACAAAGGCTTGCTCAACAGGTGACATTTTAAACCAAAGGTAAGCAAAGGAATGTCAGTTAGTGTTTTTCTTTTTGTGAGACTGCATGAGATTAAAACACCCATCCTCAAATCCTAGTAGTGATATTAAATTGCTTTTAACCTGGATCACAAGTAGTATGAAGTCTTTAAAGTACGTAAGAGGAAACATTGATTTTCCAATTGGCAGTGTGACCTTTAAAATATGCCCAGAGAATGCCCAGCCAGTGTGGCTCAGTGGTTGAGCGTCGACCCAGGAGCCAGGTCACAGTCGATTTCTGGTCAGGGCACATGCCCAGGTTTCAGGCTTGATCTCTAATAAGGTTCATGCATGAGAAGCAGCCAATGGATAATTTTCTCTCATCATTGATGTTTCTATCTCCCTCTCCCTCTCCCTTCCTCTCTCTGAAATCAGTAAAAAAAATAAATAAAAATAAAATAAAAATTTAAATACGTCACGTGTGCAAATCACAAGTAACAACGTGTAGATGCCTGTAATGTCACATTTCTTATCACAAACCTGCTGCCTCAATGACAAGTGTACACATCTAATTCCTATAAGAATCTCACAGCAAGTCCAAGAACAGGCAAATTAATCCAAAGAACTAGCCTGTGCTCTTTTGTTTCTTAAACAAATAAACAAAAGACAATAAAACAGTATAAGTCAGGTTTTTAACCTAAGTGAAAATTCATTTTTAAAAGTACCAGAGCTGTATTCATCTTCTTTTTCAGCTAAAAGGATGAAGCATAATAGCCACAACTTTGTTACAGACTAAAATCCAGCAGGTAATTCCAACGCCACCTAAAAACACAGAAGTTCAGCATGAGAGCACCCCCGAGCTCCGCCCCATCCCTGCCTCTGCCTTCCTCTCAGAGCGGGGTTCCCAGCGTGCGCCCCACGCCCACAGGGGCATTGGAGAAGGAGTTACGAACAGTGCATTTTTTGCATTTCTTATGGTTCTAGGGGCCCCCTGTATATAGAAATATATTGTGACATATTTATGCCAGTTCTCTATTTTATGTTTTAAACCTTTGCTATTTTTCATATCACTTTTTTTTTTTTTTTTTAACAATTTCTTACTGATTTCTTCCTCAATACTTCAGCTGTCCTTCTGTTCTTTTATTTTTCTGTCTATGGCTGCCCTGTTCACTGGAAGCTTGTTTAGACCAAGCTCATGGCCTTTTAGGCTTCCTCCGCGTGAACAGGCTCACTGTTTGGATAATAAGAATTCTATGTCACAGGGAGGGGGAATCAGGGTTTCAGAGATGCTTAGGTGGGACATGGGCAAAAAAAGCTTGGGAACCACTGTCTTAGAGGAAGTCAGAGTAGTTCCATTCTTTCGGAGCAGTGCTGGGCTAACACAGAGTTTGTATTTCGTGGGTTCCAATGCATCAGACTTTGATTAATTCACAGGCTGCCTTCCTTACTAAGCAGGACTTATACAGAACAATGAGCACTGGTCTGAATTCCTCTTCTCTGCCAAGAAATATGCTTTACTATTTACGATATTACCAGGCCAGAAGACCACTCTGTGACATTATTTGGTTTTCCCTTCTCATGAATGAAGCAATGTGTACCCACACGGGTCTTGTCCCGCTGGTCAGTGAGACGGGCAGACAGGCTGTCAGAGTGGCCAGCGGCCTGCTGGTGGCGGGAAGTGGCCTCTCGCACCCGTACTGCCCTCAAGGCTGAGTCCCACAGAGGGGGAGGGGGAGGGAAGCGGTTAAATTAAAAGCCATTCCTTTTAATTTAGTAATTCACCTCCAGTTTTGCCACAAATCACAACCAAAAACTGACTGAAAAGGACGTGTGCATTATTCTTGGTAGAAAAATTTAGGACCTAATTTTTAACAGGAAAATTAGTAAATTATGGCACATCCAAATGAAGAACAGCTATTCAAAATTTCTTAATAAAGAAACGTTTATTGATATGAGAGGCTTATAAAAAAAGTAAAAAGGAACAAAAAACTAGACAACCTTAACTATACAAGGGTGGGCAAAAGTAGGTCTACAGTTGTTCAAATGGAATATATAATACAAGAATAAATAATAATTCAAAAATAAACTGTATTTCATGTAGTCATAATTGTAAACCTACTTTTGCCCATCCCTGTATAAAAATTAATAGAAAAATATAGCACAATCTAAGAGGGGTTATCCATAGCTAATGAGTTTTCTTTCATTTTTCTTTTATCTTTATTCATCCTACAGTGACGGGCACTACTTTTAACACACACAAGAAATTATCTTCCACGTGTGAAAAAGTGGCCGAGAGCCACAAATGCCCTCGCTGTGCCTAGAATTGAACAGAGGCTGCAGACCTGGGACTAGAAGTCGGGTTTGGATAAGCCGCGACCAGCTGCAGGGATGGGCTCCCGGTCAGTCCAGAAGCAGGCGCGGCCTGACTCCAGCTCTGCGAGTTACCATTTCGGTGGCCGCGGACAAGGCCACGAACGTCTCCGGACCTGCATCTCCTCATGGCCAGCCCTCAAGGCTGAGACACAAGGCCCTCCCCTGCTTCTCCCCCCCGCCCCCCCCCCCCCCCGCTTCTCCCCCCACCACCTCTCCCTCGGTGAAGCGGAGGAAGAGGTCGAGCTGACTTAACCTCCACACACCTCCCCCTGGGCCTGTCTCCCGCTGTGCCCCAGGAAGCCTTACCTGCTACTCTGGTGGGAAAGGCTACGAGCCGGTCGAGCGGGGTGATCCACTTACTGGGCACCACAGCCACGGGTACGGAGTAATACTTCCAGATGAGGCAGACCATCAGGGCAGCCTGCGGGGACACGGTGCCGAGTGCAAGCCACAGGCGGTGAGGCTGCGGAGCCTTAGCCCCAGCAGCCCAGTCCCTGCAGCCCCCAGCCGCCGGCACCATACACCGCTGACCTCACACACTCAAAACGCCCAGTGTAGCCTTTGACTCCCCAAAAACATAACTAATAGCCTAGTGCTGAGAAACAGCTGATTAGCACATATTTTATGTTATATATTTCATATACTGTGTTCTTACTATTAAGCAAGAGAAAAGAAATGTTAAGGAAATTATAAGGAAGAAAAAATACAAATATATCTTTTATATATTCATGATACATTTCTATTAATATCTTCAATATTTCTAGGCTATTCAGTGGTTCATCTGTGAGTTTTGTCAAATTTTCAACAAATCTGACGAAATCGGTTTGGCTCAGCAGTAGAGCGTCGGTCTGCGGACTGAAAGGTCCCAGGTTCGATTCTGGTCAAGGGCATGTACGTTGGCTGCGGGCACATCCCCGGTAGGGGATGTGCAGGAGGGGGCTGGTCGATGTTTCTCCCTCATCGACGTTTCTGGCTCTCTATCTCTCTCCCTTCCTCTCTGTAAAAAAATCAATAAAAAAAATTTTTTTTCAACAAATCTAAAAATAAAATTTCCAATATATTAATTGGAAAAAAAAAAAAGCCACATATAAGTGGACCCATGCAGTTCAAACCCATATTGTTTGAACATCAACTAAATACACTATTAAATTAGCCGATAATGAAGATTCCCCATAACACAAATGTTCTTTTCCCATTGAATACCTCTTTTAAATAGACTCTGCTAATTGCACAGTACGAGGGACAAAAGCAACCTTAGCCTCTAGATCCTTGAAAAAGTAGTTACTGCTCCATCCCCACTCTGGCGCTGGCCTCCTCGTGCAGAAGTGGCCACTTAAATGGTGGAAGAGAAGAGAAGCTCTCTCTCTCCCTCCTCTCCCCAGCAGCTTTCCCTCGAGTTGTCTTCTGTCCCCTCTGGCCTGAATATGTCACTCCAGCATGCCTGAAAGAGGGCCTCTGGCACTGGGCGGTAGCTCAGTTGGTTAGAGCATTGTCCCAGCATCCAGGGGAGGGACTGTCCAGCCCTCGGGCCATACAAGACCAGCAAAACCATTGGGGATGTCCCATTAAGGCATCAGGGGTGAGTTAATTAAATGTCTGACCACACACAGCAGGTTCATTTTTAAGTCAATAATTTTTTTAATATATTTTATTGAATTTTTACAGAGAGGAAGAGAGAGGGACAGAGAGCCAGAAACATCAATGAGAGAGAATCATCCATCAGCTGCCTCTTGCACACCCCCTACTGGGGATGTGCCCACAACCAAGGTACATGCCCTTGACCAGAACTGAACCTGGGACCTTTCAGTCCACAGGCCGACGCTCTATCCACTGAGCCAAACTGGTTTGGCTAAGGCGGTAATTTTGTATGGCCCCCGAAAGATGTTACAAATATCCCAATGGCCCTTGGCAGGAAAAGGTCCCCACACCTGCAATACGCCAAGATTGTGGGTTCAATCCCCAGCCAGGGCACATACAAGAAGCAACCAATGAATGCCTAAATAAGTGGAACAACAAGTTGATGTCTCTGACTCTGTCTGTCTCTCTCTCTGTCTCTCTCTAAAATCAATAAATTTAAATTATTATTTTTTTTTTAATTAAAAGAGGGCCTCTGGCTTAACGTCAGTCCCTGGAGAAACCTATCTCCCATCAGTGACAGCGCCTCAGGATCGATGTGCTTTCTATAACCAAATAGCCTGCATCCTTTACCCCCGTCCACGTCATTCTACACTGACCCTCAGAGGCCATTTAGAGCAGCCACAGCAGATCCGCAGCCTCAGGTGAAGCGTAAAAGTCCCCCATCAGAAAGCTGTGAGGCAGAGGCCCTGGGCTTTAATGACAATAACGGTCCCCCACCCGGAGAGTCCACAGTCACTTTCCCGTCTGTACACCGGGTAGGAAGCAACAGCCAAAATCACTGACCATCTCAGAAAACACAATTTCTAAATAAGCTTCTCTCACTTCACCCCCAGCCTCCCAAACCTGCCCTCCAAAACCAAGGCCACATAAAGAACTCCGGGGAGGGGCTTAGGCTTAAAAATCCCAAGAGTTAACACTAACCCAGGGAAAGCCTTCCGTCTGACTTATGAATTCAGAGTGTTCGGAGTGACATGCTCGCAGCACACTCGGCGCAGCAGCTGAAGGTGGGAAACCTGGATTCCAGGGGCTGGAGTGGCACAGAGTCTATTGCCAGCTTTAATGAGCAGTGACACCGGACACTCACCTGCAATATGTACAAAGCGACACTCATGGCCCACTTCATCTTGGCCAACTGAGCTGTCCGTGCTTTCACTGAAAGGAAAAACAGGATGAAATGATTATGTCAGCCCTAAAAAGGGAAGAAAATATTCAACTACACAGAAGTGCTATTTTGTCTCACAAAATATTGTCTGATTATGCATATAAATATAAAATAGAATGTCTTACATCACCCACTGTGCTATTATGCTATTACTTAAAATAGAGCTCAGCCAAAGTGGCTCAGTGGTTGAGCATCAACCTATGAACCAGGAGGTCACAGTTCAATTCCCAGTTAGGACACAAGCCCGAACTGCAGGCTTCACTCAGTGTGGGATGTGCAGGAGGCAGCTGATCAATGATTACCCCTCATCATTGATGTTTCTCTCTCTCTCCCTCTCCTTTCCCCTCTGAAATCAATAAAATTATTTTTCAAACATTAAAAATAAAATAGAATCACACACAGATTTGGAAATGTGCAGCTTTAATTTAAAAAAACCTTAAAGCACCCTAACCAGTTTGGCTCACTGGATAGAGCATCGGCCTGCAGACTGAAGGGTCCCGGGTTCGATTCCAGTCAATGTACCTTGATTTCGGGCACATCCACAGTAGGGGGTATGCAGGAGGCAGCTGACCAATGTTTCTAACTCTCTATCCCTCACCCTTCTTCTATGTAAAAAAATCAATAAAATATATATTTTTTTAAAAAACAAAAAACCTTAAAGCTATTCATCTAGCCTCACTGGTATGGCTCAACAGTCGAGCATCAACTCCAGGTTGCTGGCTCAATCCTCAGTCTGAGGCAAGCAGGAGGCAGCCAATCAATGATGCTCGCTCATCTCTGATATTTCTATCTCTCTCTCCCTCCCTCTCCCTTGCTCTCTGAAATCAATATATTTTTTAGAAACAGCTATTCATCTAAATCAGAGATTCTTTTCACAATGCACCTACCGATCAATCTGACTAAGGGTTCTTCCCGGTTCCCCAGTTTACACTGAACACTAATCCAGAAGGGAGGCGAACTGCCTGGGTGCTGGGCAGGCCTCTCTGTCTGTTCACTAGCCATGCAGATGGCTCCCTCACAGCGCATGCTCTCAGCACACAGGCTGCCCTGGGAACATCATCGCCATCACAGCAGACTGTTAGGGACAGTGGCAAACATCAAAATGAGGAAGACCTGAGCCCCAGCCTGAGTCTACACTCGGATAGCACTTTTCAGAGAACAGAATAAGAAAGCCCCTGAGACTCTAGCCGGTTTGACTCAGTGGACAGAGCATTGGCCTGCAGACTAAAGGGTCCCGGGTTCAATTCCGGTTAAGAGCACATGCCCGGGCTGCAAGCTCGATTCCCACTAGGGGATGTGCAGGAGGCAGCCAATCAATGATTCCCTCTCATCACTGATGTTTCTACCTCTATCTCCTTCTCCCTTCCTCTCTGAAATTAATAAAAATATTTTTTTTAAAAAGAAAGCTCCTGAGTATCCACTGTAAGATTCTTTTCTAGGCTTCTCTCAGAAAAGTGTTGAATTTGAAAATGACAACCTATGAAGTTGGCTCTGAAGAAACCCTACGAGTATCCTGAATGTTTCTGTTAAAAAGCAAAGGTTCACCAGCAAAATAAAGAGAAAGTAAAGTAATTACTATGATTGGGTTTCTTCTAGACAACTTCAAAGTTTATACCAACATTTAGAACAGCCAAGAATCAGTGCAACGTATTCTGCGAATCCTTACAGAAAAGATTTCTCTATGAATCAGCTCTTATGAAACTTTCCAAAAACTACAAATGAGAACAGTACCATGAGGGGAGCATTTGAGGTCTTGCTTCCCGGCAAAGTCATCAGTTTGGCTCAAATAAACTCTTATAAAAATTCAAAACAAAACAAAAAAAAACTGCACCATGAGTTTTGAGCTTATCTGCCATCTTGTTGATCTTTCTTTCCAGCCTGGCATATCTGGCGAACTCGTCCATCATGTTGACAGTGGCAAGTTCCTGCTTCATGTCCTGGATCTCCGCTCTCATCTGAGACTCCTGCTCTGCATCCTTCTGCAGCACCCTGGACATCTGGCGGAGGGACAGCAGGGGTCAGTGCCTTTCCACGTGGGGTACGATCCTTCCTCCCCTCCGCCATCCTCCCTGCCGCCTCTCTCGCCTGGGCAGGCTGCCCTTTTCCTAGAGAGCCAGCCCCTGCTGCCTGGCCTGGTCCTGCTCTCTACAGCCGCAAACAAAAACCTCCCTTCCGCCCAGCCCGCGTGGCTCAGTGTTTGAGAGTCGAGGTGTGAACTAGGAGGTCAGGGTTCTATTCCTGGTCGGGGCACATGTCTGGGTTGTGGGGGCATGCAGGAGGCAGCCAATCAATGATTCTCTCATCATTGATGTTTCTTTTTTTTTAAATATATTTTTATTGATTTTTTACAGAGAGGAAGGGAGAGAGAGTTAGAAACATCGATGAGCTAGAAACATCGATGAGAGAGAGTCATCGATCAGTTGCCTCCTGCACACCCCCTACTGGGGATGTGCCCACAGCCGAGATACATGCCCTGGACGTTTCTAGCTCTCTATCTCTCTCCCTTCCTCTCTGTACAAAATCAATAAAATATATTAAAAAAATAAATAAGATAAAAATAAAAATAAAAATGGTATAAGGGCTTGAACAGACATTTCTCTAAAGAAGAGATACAAACGGCATAAGCACAAGAAATGATGTCCCATATCAGTGATCATAAGGATAAATGTAAATCAAAACACAATGAGCCAAAACCGGTGTGGCTCAGTGGATAGTGTCGGCCTGTGGACTAAAAGGTCCCGGGTTCAATTCCAGTCAAGGGCATGTATCTTGGCTGCGGGCACATCCCCAGTAGGGAATGTGCACGGGGCAGCTGATCGATGTTTCTACCCCTCTCCCTTTCTCTCTGTAAAAAACCAATAATATATATATATTTTTTAAAAACACAATGATACACCATTTTGCACTTATTGGGATGACAATTCTCAAAGCAACAACCTAACATGACAAGCGGTGGAGAACGTGGAGAAACCGCAGCTCTTGTGCAGTGCTGGTAAGAATGTAAAGGGTGCAGCTGCTGTGAAAAACAGAAGGGTAGTTTCTCAAAAAAATTAAATGTGGAGTTATCATATGATCCAGCAATTCCATTTCTGGGTGTTTACCTAAAAGAACTGAAAACAAAGACTCGCACAGATACGTGTACACCAATGTTCGTTCTATCAGCGCTACTCGCAACATCCAAAAGGTGAAAACAACCCACATGTCCATCTAAAGATGGACACGCAAACACAAGTAGGACATACATATTGTATAATGGACTAATATTCAGCCATAAAAAAGAATGCAATCCTAACACTCACTACAAGGAAGAAACCTAAAGACATTATGATACGCAAAATAAGCCAGTCACAAAATGACAAATACTGCACTATTTCACTTATATGAGGTACTTAGAGTCGTCAAATTCACAGAGCCAGAAAGTGGAATGGTGGGTGCCAGGAAGAGAGAGAATAGGAGTTAGTGTTTAATGGGTACAGTTTCAGTTTAAGAAAATGAAAAAAAAAAAAAAAAGAAGAAAAATTTCCGGAGATGGATGGTGGCGATAGCTGCACACCATGTGAATGGACTTAGTGACACTGAACTTTACACCTAAAAATGGTTAAAATTATTATATGTATACTAGAGCCCAGTGCACGAAATTCGTGCATGGGGTAAGGGGTCGAGAAGTGTCCCTCAGCCTGGCCTGCTCCTGCTCCAGTCCAGGACCCTTTGGGGGATGTCCAACTACCTCTCACAATCCAGGACCGCTGGCTCCTAGCTGCTCGCCTGCCTGCCTGCCTGCCTGATCAGCTCTAACTGCTCCCCTGCTGGCCTGATTGGCCCTAACTGCCTCTGCCCCGCCCGCACCAGAAAAGCCGGTGCAGGCACAGCCACTGGCGCCCAGGACTGCAGGGCGGGCAGCTTGTCCCTCCCCTGGGCCGCAGCCTGGCTGGTCCCCATGCCTCTCCCCAGTGCTGAGTGTCTGAGCCGTTATGCTATGAGGGCCTGAAGACCATTTGCATATTAGCTCTTTATTATATAGGAGGATGTATGGATCACCATGATTTCTTTTAAATATATATTTTTATTGATTTTTTACAGAGAGAAGGGAGAGGAATAGAGAGTTAGAAAGCTGCCTCATGCACACACCCCCAATGGAGATGTGCCCACAACCGAGGTACATGCCCTCGACCAGAATTGAACCTGGAACCCTTCAGTCCGCAGGCCGATGCTCTATCCACTGAGCCAAAAACAGTTAAGGCATAGTTTTTTTTAAAGAAGAAAAACGGCCAGGGGACAGCTCTTCAAGAGTCGTTCATGCAATTATAGGAACTTGGGACACGATCTTAAAGACTAGGCAGCATCAGGAAAGATTCTGCATGGGCACTAAGAGAGGTCTCCGTGCCTCAGAACATGAGGGCCTCGGGCGTTACACAAAACAAGCTCTCAGTGAATACTGATAGGACAAAACACAAGAACAGTAGAAATCCTGCCCAGTCTTAAACACCCATCGCCAGCAGCAGTTTGTATCAGGAGAGCAAAGCAGGGAGAACTGAGTTTCCAGAATAATGCTGCAGGCCCTGCACCCAATGTCCGGGTCAGACAGCCCCTCACTACCACTGTGGGCCAATAGAGGGCGCCCTTCCCCAGGGAACAGCTCAGGTTTCTCCCACAAATCCCCGAAGTTGCCATGGAAGGAGAACTAAGAGACCACAAGAATCAAACTTCGGCCCTAGCTGGTTTGGCTCAAAGGACAGAGTGTCGACCTGCGAACTGAAGGGTCCCAGGTTCAATTCCGATCAACGGCACAGGCCCGGGTTGCAGCTCGATCCCCAGTAGCGGGTGCGTAGGAGGCAGCCAATCAATGATTCTCTCCCATCACTGATGTTTCTCTCGCTCTCCTCTCCTTCCTCTCTGATGTCAATAAAGAACTATATTTTTTAAAAAGAATCAAAAAATAAATAAAAAATTAAAAAAAGAATCAAACTTCCGACCCAACGGTCCCTAACTGGACGCCTATCTGAGTCAGACCCCTCTGGGAGGCCAAGGAATTGGGGAGGACATGCACCTCTCACCGCAGCCATGACAGCTGGACAGTAAGGCACTCGCGTTTTGGCAAGGTGCCCGCTGTGGCGGCGCTGCCCTGAAGAAAGGTGGCATCACACCATCCTGCGGTTCTGAGTCCACCCTGCCAACCACCCCAGCCCCAGAACGGGGCTCCTGCACCCTTAGGTCCATCTCTCCGGGACCTCCGGCAACCCCGGGCGCCGCGCTGCTCCGGGCACTGTGCCCCTGGCAGCCGGGCCGCCGGATGCCTCCCGAGCGAGGAAATAACGGAAATGGGGGGGGGGGGGGGAGCGCGCCTAGGAACGCCAACCCGGACATTGCTGCCACCTGAAAACTGGCCCAGTGTTGCCAGGGGTTTCTCTTACGCATGTATGTATGTATGTATGTATGTGTGTGTGTGTATGTGTGTATGTGAGTATTTCTTAAAACACGGAAGGGTCCACCCGAGACGCTTCCGCGGGCCGAATGCGGCCCTGGCGCGTCCGGTTGGAGAGCCCCGTGTCTGCGCCCGGTTCGGCGGGACTGAGGCCGGCCCCCCGGCCCCCGAAGGCGGCGGCCACTTACGAAGGAGGAGAAGGACGGGAGGAGGATCCTGAGGACGTTGCACCCAAACACGAAGCACAGGACCAGCAGCCACGCCCAGTGGTCGGCCTCCACGGCGCTCATCCCCGCGGCGTGAGCTCGGCCCCCGCGGACGCCGGGACCCGGCCGGCGCTCGCCCCGCGCCTGCGCACTGCGGCCGAGCCCGCTGCGCCTGCGCCCTGCGGCCGAGCCCGCCGCGCCTGCGCACTGGGCGCGCTAGCAGGAGGCGGGGCCGTCGCTCCCACCAGGTCCCCATTTACACCTTCTCCTTGGCCTTCCCGGCTTCCGTAGTCTCCTCGCACCCAACCCTCCGCTCCCAGTTTCCCAAACTCTGGTGGTTTGGGTACCACTGTCTCTAGTTTGGGTGCATCTGCAAACCACTTGTGTTATTATGCACTACTTCCTTTTCATTGATTTACTCTTATTTTATTTAAAATAAACCTTTCTAGAAATAGAAAACTACCATGATTATAGTGGCAGGTATCTGTAAAGAGAAACGTTTTGGAGTTATATGCAAAATGTATTTTTACAAGTCAAAACCAAACACTGAAACGATTTCCAAAACTGCATACCTAATTAAAAAGCAGTTTACAATCAGCCTGTAATAAACTAGTTACCCTACATATAGGTGAAAACGGGGTATTGCAGCAAAAGAACACCAATTCATATTTATGAATAGTAAATAAAAAAATGTCTAGCTGCCTCTTCTGCTGTGATTGGAGTCTGAGAACTAAAACCCGATTAAAATGGTTCCTGGAGCGGTGGTTCTACAAATTTCTGTTTCAAGAAAAACCTGAGAAGCTAAGCTACTTAGTTGCAGAGTGAGTTCTTTCTATGGAAACACATCTTGGCTGGTCGGTGATGCTAAAATGACCAAAAGACGGGCTTGGAGTCTGCCTTTCCTCCATAGCCTTCCCCTCCAGCACATGCAGCAAGGCTACTGACTCCTGTACACACTAGAGATTTAGAATTTACAGCCAAAACTGGCTCAGTGGTAGAGCATCGGTCTGCGAACTGAAAGGTCCCGGGTTCGATTCCAGTCAAGGGCATGTACCTTGGTTGTGGGCACATCTCCAGTAGGGGGTGTGCAAGAGACAGCTGGTCGATGTTTCTCTCTCATCAACGTTTCTAGCTCTCTATCTCTCTCCCTTCCTCTCTGTAAAGAATCAATAAAATATATTTTAAAGAATTTACAGGGAGAAACCACCTCATGGAAAGTGATGACAGCTCCCCCTCTGTCTCTACCATTTGAGCTGAAGAGGAGAGTTTCAGCTGTTCCCTACCGCTACCACACGCTATTACATTCTCCCAGGAAGAGTTCACCAATTCCTGGTGAGGCAAGAATTTGACATAAAACAAAAACACACCAGAGAAATGTCCCTGACTGTGCAGCAGTGAGGGGAGAGGACATGCCTTCAAGAGAAATTCACCCTGAATAACTCAGCTCTCCCTATTGCTTCATTTGGACAGGGCTCAAAAGAAGCAAATGGAAGGCTGACTTTTCCTAACATGTGGAAAGAAAATATGAAAGCCAACACATCTCAGGAGAAAACAGTCTAGATCTAGTAACCAGAGATGTGCTCAAAACTGAGTGCCTTAGAGTCAGTTGCTGAGGACAGCCAGCACAAAGTGGATTCTTCTCAAGACAGGCAACCCAGAGGCAGCACTGAACTACAAGGTGAAACAAAGATGGCCTCAACTATTCCCAAAATAGTGAAAACAGAGAATACCAGAAGAAACAATTTAGCAGAATGGACTTACCTATTCTTTGGTTTGCCCACTTGATTTTACTAAATGAAAATAATGATGGCCACGACAGTGATGATGATAATGATGATGATGATATACAGTGCTGAGTCAAAGAGCAGACTGACAATCTTTCCAGAATGAATTAAGTGAAATCTGCAGTGTTTATTTTGGTGACTGGTACCAAATAAGCTCAGGGAGTTACCTTGAATGCACAAATGTATAGCCATCATATTTTTCATTAGCTGTCACAGAAATGATAGGTTGGCAGCCTGTTTTAAGATCCAGGATAACAATGAATGAAGTATGAGGATTTCTTAGGAAACTAAATTCTAGCATAGCTGAGTATTCAAGTATTCCTTTTCTATGCACACAAATGTATGTACTGTATATGTGTATGTGTGTGTGAGGAGCTACTCAGTATGAAAAACATAACATTGTAATTTGAGCTATTTTACTCTTTTTAACTTGTTAAAAAATATGAAAAATGTTAAATGCAAATGTTGAAGTATATGTAAAAACAGCACTGTTGATGTTGCTAGGTATAAATAAAAAAGATATTGCTGATTAGTTGTTGAATAACATTGGGAATATATAAAATGCCCCTTAAAATATTAGTTCTAGTAATAATTAATGTCGTTTCCTAATACTTTTTTAAAATCGAATTTATTTAAACAATACAACAAAATTTAATCAACAATATAGTTGCCGTTGTTTTCTACTACTTGTGCCCAATGCTCAGGAAGCATTTTAATCCCTCTGTTGTAAAATTCTTGTGATTTTGATGCAAAAAATTCGGTCAATGCATTTTTGAGGCATTCTTCATTATTAAATTTTTTTCCAAGAAGAAAGTTTTGCAAAGAACGAAACAAATGGTAATCGGAAGGGGCAATATCAGGAGAATATGCAGGTTGAGGGAGAACTTCCCATTCTAACTGGCGCAGTTTTTCAGCAGTGATTCTTGCAGTATGCTGTCGTGCATTATCGTGGTGAAGAATTACGCCCTTCCGATTAATCAGCGTGGGTTCTTTTTCTCTTAAAGCTTGGGCTAACCTTTCCAATTGGGCACTAGACACTGCACTTGTAGTAATGGTTTGGTTAGATGGTAAAAGTTCATAATGAAGAATTCCTTTAAAATTCCACCAAACACACAACCTCACTTTTTTCGCATGCAAGTCAGGTTTTGGCGTGGGCTGCGGAGCCTCATTTTTGTCCAACCATTGAGGCCGCCTTTTCAAATTAACATACAACACCCATTTTTCATCCCCGGTAACAATTTGCTCTAAAAATGGCAAACGGTTTTGACGAGAGAGGAGCGAACTGCAAATTGTGACTCTTTTGATTACGGTGGTTGTCGGTCAACTCATGAGGAACCCATTTTCCAAACTTTTGGACTTTGCCAAGTGCACGCAATTGATTGGAAATTGTTTTTTGTGAACAATTTAAAGTTGTCGCAAGCTCTTGTTGGGTAATTTGAGGATTTTGCACCAAAAGAGCTTGAAGAGCTTCTTGACCAAAATTGGACACACGGCCTCAACCACTCTTGTCATCTAACGAAAAATTTCCCTCGCGAAATTTCTCAAACCAACGCTGGCATTTTCTGGCACTAACTGCATCTTGACCAAGAGCACTACAGATGTTTTTTGCAGCCTCACTTGCTTTTTTTCCTAATTGGAACTCGTAAAGTATGTAGTGCCGAATATGCTCTTCATCCACCATCTTCTTAACCCTAGTTTTGCAACAAAAACCAAACCAAACACAAACTTTTTCAAGCAAAACTTGTTAATTGCACATCACACGTTCTGTAGATACCACGTGTTTGAAGGTTATGTCAATACAAGTCAACGCCAAGCAAGATTTTAAACGAATGTTTTAAAACGACATTAATTATTACTAGACCCGATAGTTAGTTGTACGTTATGTAAATTTCACCTAAATTTTTAAAAACTGCTAGAACCACCCTGGCTGTGTAGTTGTTGGTTAGAGCATTGATCGCAGAAGCCAAGGTTGTTGGTTCCATCCCAGGTCAGGGCATATATAAGAATCAACCAATAAATGCATAAATGGAACAATAAATTGATCTCTCTCTCTCTCCCTAAAATCAATTTTAAAAAATAAAAAATAATTGCTAGTGCCATAGCCAGTTTGGCTCAGTGGATAGAGCGTTAGCCTGTGGACTGAAGGATCCCGGGTTTCATTCCAGTCAAGGGCACATGCTTGGGCTGTGGGCTCTGTACAATGTGCAGGAGACAGCCAATCAATGATTCCCTCTCATCATTGATGTTTCTCTCTCTCTTCCTCTCCATTCCTCTCTAAAATCAATAAACATTTTAAAAAATAATTTCTAGAACCAAATAACCTTAATCTTTTTTTTATTTTAGTGTGTCCAGAGTGCCTCAGTTGGTTGAGTGCCCTCCCATACATCAAACAGTCGTGGGTTTGATTGCCATTTGGGAACCGATGGAAGGGAACCAATCGATGTTTCTTTCTCTCTCTGACCATCAGGATTTGAATTCCATTCCTCCACATCCTATCCAATGTCAGTCTTTTACATTTTAGTCATCCTAATGGGTGTGGAATGCTATCTCATTAGACTATTTTGCTTTATTTGTGTTTCCTTCAAGACTATTGATATTGAGCAGATTTTCATGTGCTCATTTGTCACCTTTATGTCTTTCTTGATGATATATTTGTTGAAATCTGTTGCCCCTTTTTACTTAGTTATTTTCTTAGAACTGGATAGCGTTTTGAGTTCATTCTGGATACAAGCTCTTTACCTGGTATATATTTTGCAAATATTTTATCCCATTCTTTGGTTTGTCTTTCATTCTCTTAAAATGTTCTTTGAGGAGTAGAACATTTTAAACTAGTAACAGAAAGCAGATCAGTGATTGCCTAGGGGCTTGAGGGTGTGACAAAGATTGGCTGAAAATAGACAGGAGGAATTTTTTCCAGATCTTTTATATGTTCTCTAACTGGATGTGGTGATGATTGCAAAACTGTAGCTTTACTAAGAATCATTGAATTTTACACTTAAAGCAAGTGAATTTTATGCAATGGTCTTTTAGTACAATTTTAATTTTTTAAAAATTATTAAGGTATGAAACCCTTGGGTGTGTCAGACACTATACTAACTGCAGGGTATAAAATGATGGTGAACAAAACATCCAAAAGGCTGAAACCGTTTTGGCTCAAAGAATAGAGCGTCGGTCTGCGGACTGAAAGGTCCCAGGTTCGATTCCGGTCAAGGGCATGAACATTGGTTGCAGGCACATCCCCAGTAGAGAGTGTGCAAGAGGCAGCTGATGGATGTTTCTCTCTCATCGATGTTTCTAGCTCTCTATCCCTCTCCCTTCCTCTCTGTATAAACTCAATAAAATATTTTTTTTTTTTAAAAATTCAAAAGAAGGTCCAAAGCCCCACAGCATTGCTTCACAGCTGGGCCTCATCTGAGCACCTCCAAAACCCAAACAAAGAAGAGGAATCTGCAGATCTCTCCATAGCTTCTGCTGGGTGACCTCAGGCAGAGGCTAAATTAGTACCTCCTTGGAGACCCAAGAGCCAATGTACCCAGGGGTCAGAGTAGGACCATCCAGATTATAACTCCTCAGATCCATAAGGGACACACTCAGGTGCAGACTCAGTGAGCACCAAAGCCCCCCTGAAGCAAATCTTGTCTCATAAGGGTGTCTCCAGCACACAAGTTCTCCCATCATAGACACAGCTGATCCTCACAGCCAATTGGCCTGGAGGTCAATTCCTCCCAGTAATACCAACAACAATCAAGACTTAACTACAACAAGATTGTGCACACAGCCCACAAAGGGATGCACTACAAGTGTCCACCTCAGGTAACTGGGGAGGCTGAACCACAGGGCACTGTAGGACACCTAGCACACAAAGCCACTCTATCAACTCAGGGAAGCAGCCAAAATGCAGAGACAAGGAAACAGGTCACAAATGAAAGAAATGGAGGAAAGCAAACTACTGGATATAGAGTTCAAAACCAAAGATAAGGTTTTTCAAGAATTTTCTAGAAAAGGCTGATACATTTAGCGAGGCCCTCGAGGATATCAAAAAGGACCAACTAGAAATTAAACATACACTGACTGAAATAAAAAATAATACACAGAGATCCAGCAGCAGATTATAAGATTGCAAGAATCAAATCAAATATGTGAAATACAAAGAAGCAAAAAACATCCAACCGTTAAAGCAAAAAGAAAAAAGAATAAAAAAAAAGAAGATAGTGTAAGGAGCCTCTGGGACAACTTCAAGCATACCAACATCCAAATTATGGGAGTGCCAGAAGAAAAGAGTGAGTAAGATACTGTAAACCTATTTGAAGAAATAATGACTGAAAAGTTCCCTCACGTGGTGAAAGAAATAAACTTACAAGTCCAGGAAGCATAGAGAACTCCAAACAAAAGGAATCCAAAAAGGACCACATCAAAACACATAATAATAAAATGCCAAGAGCAAAAGACCAAGAGAGACTATTAAAAGCAGCAAGAGAAAAACAGTTACCTACAAGGGAGCACCCATATGATTGTCAGGTGATTTATCAACAGAAACTATGCAGGCCAGAAGTGAGTGGCAAGAAATATTCAAAGTGATGAATAGCAAGAACCTACAACCAAGATTACTCTACCCAGCAAAGCTATCATTCAGAATTGAAGGTCAGATAAAGATCTTCACAGACAAGAAAAAGCTAAAGGAGTTCATCACCACCAACCAGTATTATATAAAATGCTAAAAGGTATTCTTTAAGAAGAGGAAGAAAACAAAGATAAAAATTATGAACAACAAATACATATCTATCAACAAGTGAATCTAAAAATCAAGTAAATAAAAAATCTGATAAACAGAACTGGTGAATATGATAGAATCAGGGGTATAGAAAGGGAGTGGACTGACCATTGGACCATTGGAGGGGTGTAGGAGGTGAGGGAAGAGATTGGACAAAAATCATATACCTATGGATGAGGACAGTGTGGGGAAGGGAGGGAACTAGGTAGAGGGGAGCTATGGGGGGGAAAAGAGGAACAACTGTAATAATTTGAACAATAAAGGTGTATTTTTTTTTAAAATCTGTATGCCACCAGTTTGTTACCTGTAACCTAGGCATCTTCAGTCATGCAGGGAGAAAGATCTTTATGAGCTAAGTTCAGATCTCAGCACTGTCATTGTCTGAAGACCTTGTAGTGTCTCCCACTCCTTGGAAAACAGCCCAACTATTTAGCCTGGCATCAAACACCTCCAGTAGGCTGTGGCTATACTGTTTTCTGCCTCTTCCCTTAAATCTTCACTGCCACTCTATCTCCATCCCTGCCACTCTGAAGGACCCTGAGGGCCATCAGGGTCTATTAAGACCACATGCTGTGGAATGTGCTGTCCCCCTGGCCAGTTTGTGTGCTTTCTCTCCCACTAAATTACCACCCCTGAGTCCTTGGGATAGGTGTCCTGTCTGCAATCTCTCTACCCCAAGGCCAAGCATAGTGCCTCACATTAAGAACATATCTGTGCCAGGTCCTCTCTGGTGTCATTTTCTTTTAAACGCAGATCAGAGAGAAAAGGATCAATTTTAATATCACCCTGCTGCCCCCAATTGTTCTCTCCAGAAGCAACCACTGGCAACTTTCTTGTATATTCTTTCTTAGATATGCAATGAGTGTATAATTTCATACTCAATATACCTATATACTCAATAGATGCTATGGAAAAGCCAGGCTGAGGTGGACATAAGGAGTTGCTTTTTTAAATGAGAAGGTGCAGAAGGCCTCATTGAAAGGGTGAAATGTGTGCAGCCCGGAAGGAGGTTGAGGAAGAGCACTGCAGTGGTCTGAGGGAGCAACAGACGACAAGACCCTGAAGCAAGGAGTGCAGGGAGTTTGTGGTTTGGAAGGTGGAACAGGTGAAAATCATCGAAGTTGCCCAGATCAGAGGGCTGTAAGCCACTCTAAGGATTTCAGGCTTTCTTGAATGAGAAGTGAAAGCACTAGAGTTATTGATCAAGAGTTAAGTCTAATGATTTTCAAAAGTCACTTCCCTAGTAAAGCGATGCCTCCGTTTTTCTTTCCAATGGCTCGGTTTTCACTATGTGGAGATGCTACGGTTTACCTGGGCCCCTCAAATGGCCGACATCTGGTCTAGCTCCAAGCTTTGGAGTTCGAAGTAGCCTCATGTTTCTTCCTCTCCAAGAATTCCAGCTGACAATTTTCCGGTTAAAACCTTTTTCTATAATCACCCAACTCAATTACACGTAACTATTTCTTCACTTAAAACACACACACACCCCATAATAATGTACGGTCTCACTGATTCTGGGGTTCCTAGCTCAGACCCCCTCCCCCCAAGTCAGAAGCCCTTATTTCACCTTTAAAAGGTGCTTATGGCCAAAACCAGTTTGGCTCAGTGGATGGGCCATTGGTCTGTGGACTGAGGGGTCACAGGTTCGATTCCGGTCAGGGGCATGTATGCTGGTTGCGGGCACATCCCAGTGAGGGATGTGCAGGAGGCAGCTGGACCATATTTCTCTCTCATCCATGTTTCTAGCTCTCTATCCTTTCTCTCTGTAAAAAAAAAATCAATAAAATATATATATTTTTTAAAGAACGGTGCTTATGTGAGCAGCGGTTAAAAACAGGCAGGAACCGAGTGGGCGTGCTTCCCACTTCACTTAAGCGCCGGAGGGTGACCACGGCCCAGGAACCCACAAGGCTCCTGAGTCGACCCCCGTGCACCCCCACTCGGAATGGACGGGTGATCACAGGCAGCCACGCAGAAAGAGCGGACAGCGAACACCCTGGTGGGGGGGACGCCGCCGGGGGCGCCGGACGTCGCAAAGACCCGCGCCTGCGCACTTGGCGCCTCGCGAGCCGCCCGCTCCCGCTTTCCTTCCCACGGCCTCCCTCCCGGCGCCTGCGCACTGAGGCCAGCTTCCCGCCGGCCTGCGAAGCCGGAGACCCTGGATATCCTTTCTTGCGACTGAGGGGGGCGGAATGGATCCTACTTGCATCCATTCCCTCTCCCTTCTCAGTCCGCGAGACTAGCTTTCAGCGTTTCACCGCCATCCACCCTGGATGGACGGGACCGACTCCTGGCGGCGCGCAGAGCGGGCGGGAGCCCAGGTTATCCCGGAGCGCTGTGGGCGGGGCCACGCACAGGTCACGTGGCGCGCGCCCGCCAATCGGCAGGCAGACCGCACTTTGCGGCTCGGCTTCAAACTGCCGTGAGGCGAGAACGGCCCCCGAGGCCCCGCCCCCCTCGCCTGAGTCTGGGGCCCCGCGAGACGGCGGGCGGGAGTGGGGGCGCCGGGGGCGGGGGCGGGGCGCAGTGGTCGAGTGACGGCCCGCCTCACCTATTCCGGGCGCGGGCCGCCGCCGAGGGGGCCCCGCAGCCAATGGGAAGGGGCGGGGGCCGGCTGGGCCGGCGGGGAGGGGGAGCGGGCGGCCGGGGGACGCGGGGGGAGGAGAAGGCGGGCTCCCAATCCGGTTTCATCTGGTTCTCCCACTGCCCCCATCGCGGGTCCGAGCAGCCTGGGCGGCGGGAGACGCGGCAGCGGCCAGGCAGCCCCGGTTCGCCCAGCCACTAGGCGCGCCGCGGCCCTCAGGCACCCAGCACGCGCGCGGCCCGCCGCCACGATGCCCAAGAGGAAGGTGAGCGGGGCCCGCGGCCCGCACACGCCCCCTCGCCGCCCGGGCCTGCCGCGGCGCCCGTGAGGCCCAGGCCCGGCGCGGCCCCGGCGGCGTGGGCCCAGGCGGCGCCCCGGGACCGGCGGCGGCGGGCGGGCGGGCGCACCGCGGCCTCGTGCGCGGGGCCGGGGGACGCGCGAGGCCCGCCGCTCCGGGGAGTAAGTGGGGGGGGGGATTCGAACCGGCGGCGGGAAGCCCCTGACGTCAGCCGGGCATTGTTCTGCGGGCGCGGGGCGCGGGCACTTTTGTCTGCGGGCTGCGCCCACCCGCGTGCGCTTCCTCCCACAGGTCAGCTCTGCGGAGGGGGCGGCCAAGGAGGAGGTAAGGGCGCCCTGGGCCAGGCCGGGGGGGGGGGGGCGGCTGGAGCTGCAGCCCGCATTCGTCGCTCATTTTCCTTTTCTCTCTCCCAAAGCCGAAGAGGAGGTCGGCCAGGTTGTCAGCCGTAAGTAGAACCAACCCCACCCCCGTGTCCTTCCCGCGGGCTCGGACCCGGGGCAGGGACTCAGCGCCGCTCCCTTTGCCTTGCAGAAGCCCGCGCCTGCGAAAGTGGAGGCGAAGCCCAAGAAGGCGGCGGGAAAGGTGGGTGCCCGCTCACCTAACGGGCCTTTAGTTATTAAGCTTTACATCTTAATAACTAAAGTAAACTTTTTTTCTTCTTCCTGGTCTGAGTATAAAACATGGGCATAATGGTCGTGACTTACCGGGGTGTAATGTGCCCCAGGAACGCTGCTGCAGAATTTAGGGAACTTACGACCAAAAGTATTAAATATTAACCTGAGCTTGCCAAGAAACCCTTCTTTGTGTGGTGTGCGTGTGCATGGTCAGTGCTCGTCCGCGGTCGCGTGCTTGTGTTTCTTTTGACAATAATAGCGAGGCCGGGCCGGCGGCCAGGAGGAAAGGAATGTGTACGTTTTCGCATGTAAAGTTCACAAGCCGGGGTAGCGGGTCCTGTCTGTCGTGTGTGTGGGTGGATCAAGAGTTGTGATCTCTGAGAGCATGCTCTTCTGAAAGTATTTCACTTGCAGTCATGTGTAGAGTTCCCAGATCCATTTTTTCCTGGCGGCGTTGGTCATGACACTTGCTGCACTGGAAGAGATTGATGACCGCATTGCTCACCTTGCAGGTCGTTGGAATGAAGTCCCTGCGGATGTGTACCTGGGAAAGCTTAAGTCGGGAAGGCAGGACATATGTAAATCATTTGTGACTTTGTCTTCGGACATGGCGGTGAAATCGCCCTCCGCTAAGCTCTCCGTGTTCTTCAAGGCCAGCACATGGTGTGATTAATTTCTGTCCACTCAGAACTTGAGAGTTTAGTGTTTTTCATCTCTTCCCCCAAAAACGCCCCTTTTCTAAAAGCCTTTCTTTATTTAAACATTGAACAGAGCAGAGTGTAAACATCTTCATTTTTCTTTGAAAGCAAGTTGTGCTTTGTGCTGGTGTTTTAAAAGGTGCAAGGAAGGTGTGAACATAGTAGGTTAGCTTAGAATTTGTCACACCAGAAGATAACACAGAAATTCTAGGTGAACCAAGTTTGAGTTCCCCAGAAAGTTTTCTTGGCTGAAGAAGAAAAAGGTGGATCGTGTTGCAAAATGTTGACAAGAACAGTGTACTATCATTAGCAATCTTTTATTTTTTGCTTTTTAAAAAAGTTATTGTTGATGTCAAAGAAGGGAAAGGGAGAGAGAGAGAGACATCAATGATGAGAGTGAATCATTGATCAGCTGCCTCCTGCACGCCCCTTACTGGGATCCAGCTCTTACCAGCTGAGCCAAACTGGCTAGGGTTATTCTTTGCTTTTTTTTTCTTTTTTTCTTTTTCTTTCTTTTTTTTTTTTTTTTTTTTTTTTTCTTAATAAACCAGTTGGATTAAAGACTATGCTTACTTACCTTTTAAATTGTTCGTTCTTTCCTTATTGACTTCTGTCTATATTTTGGTCTGCTTTAAAATTATTTTAATGTAAGCAGTTCAATTTTAACTCCCGTTTGGGACATCAAATGTAATAAACATTTTATTTCCCTCCCCTCAGAGGTCAACAGGTAAGTCCTCGTCTCAGTGTCCTTAAGGAGCAAGCCTGTCAGTTCATCTTCCCAAAGGAAAGAGGATCAGTGGCTTTTTCCTTTAATGTATGTAGTGCATCTTTGGTTTTATAATTAACCCATTTAAAGCCTTAAATGAAGGTAAAGCTTTTTATGTATTGATTATCATACTATAGGTTAGACATGCTGTTTTCAAAACATATATATCCAATATGTGCTCCTGACTTGGATAATTTCCTTAGAAGGATTTTGAAAGTAGAAGCATACATTAGAGAAATGTGTTAATTTATTTTGTTTCCTCTAGCTTTCTGACTATTAATAGTTAAACGTGGAATTATTTCAGCCCTAGCTGGTTTGGCTCAGCAGATAGTGTGTTAGATCCTGGTCAAGGGCACTTGCCATGTTGCTGGCTCAATCTTCAATAGGGGGCATGCAGGAGGCAGCCGCTCAATGATTCTCATTGATGTTTCTCTTCCCCTCTCGCTTCCTCTCTGAAATAAAATATGTTTTAAAAATAAAATAAAAAGTGGTATTATTTCAATCCACTTCATGGTAGCAACCTGTGGAACAGTGTTGTCCCAAATATGTTCGTTTACCTAATTTAATATTTATCCTAAAGGTATGGAATGCCACAAGTGGTACAGAATACAGTGCACTGATTTTTCCTTCTAAGTATTGATGTTTGTGAGACCACATGCCTGCCTTTGTGGCCATTTAACTCAAGTATCAGGGGTATTGATCCAACTTCTGGTGACCTAATTTAATTTTGGTGTTGCTACATTATTTATAGGAAATGTTAAAATATTTGTTAAACTTTCCATTGATGGGTAGTATCCAAAAATATTGTTCTGTAGTGCTTTAAACGTGGCTTAAATTTTAAACCTATTTTATCATCATACTAATTAATATGTGTGCTTTCAGATTCTTCAAAACACCTAAATGATAACGATAAACTCAAAATTGTTCCTTTTAGCTACTCATTATATGATAGTCAACCTGACCATACAGCATCTCTCAGGTGAATGGCTACTGTGAGGGTGATTGTCTTGCCAGCTCAGTGGACATGTGACTATTTGATTATTGTACATGCTTAAGAGAAAGTGTGAGAGTTACCAGGGAAAGAGATCCCTGCACTCATTTGTTCTGCTTTGGGAAATTCAGAACATAGTGGGTGATGAGGAAGGTGTGGGGGGAAATTGTGTAGCTCAGGCCTTAGGTTTAAACATCATTAAGGCTCGCTAGGCCAGTCCTGTTACAGTTCTCCTTAGTGGACTTGGTTGTCCTGGTTACTGGGGGTGGCGGACCTTAAGGTAGGTGGCTCCTGTAAAGTGTCATGTGACTCCGGCTGACACAACAGAACATTAACATTACAACTATTGTGGATACTGTCTCTCTCAGGATAAGTCTGCGGACAAAAAGGTGCAAACGAAAGGGAAAAGGGGAGCCAAGGGGAAGCAGGCCGAGGTGGCTGACCAGGAGCCTAAAGAAGATGTGCCTGCAGAAAACGGAGAGACTAAAAGCGAGGAGGTTGGAATGTTTGTTGGTTTTTTACTCTAACAGTAGATAGTAAGTTATGTAGCTGATGAGATAGTCTTTATTTTTTATATTAAGTATTTCGTGGCTCAGTGGTTGGCTGACATTCCATGCACAGAGAGGTCTTGTTCGATCCCCAGTAGCGGGGTGTGCAGAAGGTACTTAATTTTAAGCTTTTCTATTTAAAGATCAAATTTTAATGTAATCATCCACTTCTAAATTGTAAGATTTACATTCTTAGTTCTAACCACAACATCTAATATGTGCTGTAAGAAGACATTACTAATCTAGTTATGAGGGAAATATTGAATACGTGTTACCAAACTACAGTTGATTCTTGTTACTCGTTATGGTTATGTTTTAAGAGGTTGCTGTGAATACTGAACAGTTAGGGGAAATGCAGGGTTAGAATCCTTCAATGCTGATCATAACACTACGATCAACTGATTAGAACCTTATTTCATGTGTGTTTCTGTTTAGTACATGTTGTCAGTACATGAGCATTGAACTTGGGGCCAACAGAAACAGCACTGTGATTCATGCCTACATGAAGCCATTCCCTCCCCCTCCCCCCAAAAAAAAAAAAGAAAAGAAAAGAAAAGAAAAAATGTGAAATGGGTGGCACTAAATAGAGCGTGGAAAAGATGCTTGTTTACTGTGTTAGCACGGAAACAAGGCAGCACAACCTCAGCTGGGAATGTGCATGCTGGATAACACATTATTGGCGTTATCGTGGAAGCACCATGAGTATTAATTGGGGTTATAAATAAATTTTCATTTATTGTAGGGGTGGGGGAGAATATCAGTTGGTTGCCTTCTGTGTGTGCCCTTATTGGGAACGGAACCTGCACCCCTTTGGTGCATGGGACAACACATCAACCGATCCACACCAGCCAGGGCAAGAACTGACTATCTTTAAGACCTAAGAGTTATACGCATATATTAGTTATATTTAGTATGTTAACTTCTAATCTCAAAGATCATAGCAATAACACCGAAACCAAATGTTTAATCATTGTTTTTCCTTTGATTTGCAGAGTCCAACCTCAGATGAAACAGGAGAAAAAGAAGCCAAGTCTGATTAATGTCATATACCATGTCTTATCAGTGGTCCCTGTCTCCCTTCTTGTACAATCCAGAGGAATATTTTTATCAACTATTTTGTAAATGCAAGTTTTTTAGTAGCTCTAGAAACATTTTTAAGAAGGAGGGAATTCCACCTCATCCCATTTTTTTAAGTGTAAATGCTTTTTTTTAAGAGGTGAAATCATTTGCTGGTTGTTTATTTTTTGGTACAACCAGAAAATAGTGGGATATTGAATATGGGAGACTTTGATTGTCTTGGGTGTCAGCTTAACATTCCATAGATGGGGGTAGTTTTTATATCCTATAATACAAAGCATACTAAATGGCAATTTGGAGTCAGTCATGCGTTTGCTATGTCTTGAACATTTTAAATTACTTCTATTCACATGTTTTTGGTAGAATTGTTTCCTAAAGAAAACCACTCCTTGATCTTGGCTCTCTCCCTGTTAGAATTTTGTGCATTTGTAACATCTTTGGTGTGGTAGTCCAGTTTTCCTAGTAACTTTGTCAATGTGCTGTGAAAGATTGAAAATCTGATTATGTAGTATATATGATATTAAATTGTGAATTAGTGGGACTTTGATGTAACAGCGTATCAACATTTGAAGATATTGGTACTTGATACTCTATTAAGGAAAGTTAGCCGCTAAATTTTAAGCTGGAAAGTCACTGGAATAACTGTTCAGAGAAGAATCACAATTACATGACTTTACATTTTTGGTACGTATGTTAAGAATTGTGTACAAATTGAAATGTCTGTGTACTGATCTTCAAAACAATAAAATCTCAATTATGAATTATTTGAGGCACGTGGATTAAGTTTAAACAAGTTCCATGTACTTGCAAAACTTCCTTAAAATTTTATTTTACTGTAAACTACTTGGATGTGTGGGCGATCTGGCTGCGACATTTGTCACCCCATTGATCTCCAGGGTTGTAAATTACTTGAACACATCTACATTATACTTTTTTGATAATCCTTACCTGAAGATATTTTTCCATTGATTTTTATTTTTATGAGAGAGTGACAGGGAGGAGAGAGACAAACATCAATTCCTGGTTCCTGCCAGGTGCTCCCTGGCAGGAACCAGGAATCTAATCTGTAACTAGGTACCTGCCCTTGACCAAATCAAACCTGCAACCCTTTTATCTGAGGGCTGGTGCTTTATCCCCTAAGCCAGTGGTCTACAGACTCATTAGTCAACAGCCAAATATCAACAGTACGACGACTGAAATTTCTTTTGAGAGCCAAGTTTTTTAAGCTTCTAACGCCGCTTCAAAATAGACTTGCCCAGGCCATGGTATTTTGTTGAAAAGTCACACTCAAGGTGCCAAAGAGCCACATGTGGCTCCAGAGCTGCAGCTTGCCGACCACGGCCCTAAGCCAAAGTGGCTAGGGCTACATGTTACTTTAAAGATGTGTGTGTGACTGCATTGGTTCGATAATGGGAGAAATAGCCCAATGTCCACCAGAGCAAAATAGTACCGGAAGTAAGCTTGTAAGTACTGACGAGGCCAGATCTAGGCTCCAGTGTGTTTTGTATTTGCATATTTTTAAAATTTGCTTTCTTGTATATTGGACTTGGAGTTTTGCCATCAAAATAGTCTTTAGAGATGGCTGGTGTTGGGCACTAGTGCTGATTTGGTAAATGCAAAAACCGGGCCCAGAGAAGGCACTTGCCAAGATCACTGCTGAAGAGGAGGGGGCCTTGGAACAAAGTTGAGAGATTCTCTACACTCGGTGTGTGACTTTGCCTGTAGACTGATGGCCGGGAGGCAGGAATGCTTAAAAACAGGATTGCTACGGGGTCACGCCTCTGCAAGGACTGCACAAATGACCATTTTGAACAGTTCACAGTGGAGAGGTAATGACATCTTAAAAGTGTGAGACTAGGAAAAGCAGATGCAAAAGGAGGACTTTCGCAACCCCTGGGGCATGGAAAAGGACTCAGCAGGATCCCCAGTATGTAAATTAAGTAAAGCACTCACACTTGAGCAATTTTTTTGGTGCCAGGATTTCTCTAGCTCTTATTTGTACCAGTTAAAGGGATACCTAAAAGCAAACTGCTGAATTTTAACTAACGCATCCAGTAGTGTTCATTTGTACTGTCCAGCTTCCTCAGCCCTAGGCATGGTGATAAATTGTACCATCAAAAAAGTTTCTCAATTGTTCTCATCACTAATAACATTTTTTAATAGTACAAGGGTTTTTTATTTCTTACATTGATACCTAAAAGACTGTCTTCTCTACAGAAAATTGGAATAGAATTCCAGATCCTACTTGACTTCAGCATTATCCTTTTGTGATAAAATGAGTCCTCAACCCTTTGCTGTCAAAAGAAAGAAAAAAAATTTTTTTTTTTTTACTGATCCACTTTGAGATGTAATGTGGGATTAGTTATAAAAAAAATCTCTTGCCCTTTCAACTACTTTTTGTTGTTTTTTTAGAGAGCGAAACATACTTGGATTTGTTGTTCTACTTAGTTATGCATTCATTGGTTGATTTTCGTGTGGGCCCTGACTAGGTATCAGACCTGCAACCTTGGTGTATGGGGTCCACACTCTAACCTACCAAACTACCCAGCCAGGGCTCAACAACTAGTTCTGAACAAAGAACTGCATGATAAGAAAAAGTGGCTGACTTGACATCAATTCAGACATCCTAAAGGGACAAAAAAGATAACTAATAACAATGCAAGCAAGTCAATCTTATTAACTAGAAAATCCAGTTACCAAGCACCCTTCAGGCTTGTCAGGTGGAATTTGACCTTTCCAATGAGGATTAATCGGGTTTTAAAGCACGGAACCAGTGCCTAGTACTCACGGAGGCCCAAGGGAAAAGATTTGGTTGTAGAAGTCAATGTTCAGAAGTGGGTGTAGAAGTGTGCAGGGGTTTGGGCAGGTGCAGGGGAGAGAAATGTGTATGTGTCTATAATTGAAGCACAGAAGCAACTTGGGATAAATCAGTGCAGGCAAGCTAAGAATACCTTTATGCCAAAACCGGTTTGGCTCTGGATAGAGCACCAGCCTGCAGACTAAAGGGTCCCAGGTTCGATTCTGGTCAAGTGTGTGTACCTTGGTTGCGGACACATTCCTAGTAGGCGATGTGCAGGAGGCAGCTGATCGATGTCTATCAATTGATGTTTCTAACTCTATCCCTCTAACTTCCTCTCTGTTAAAAAAAATAATAATACCCTTGCCGAAACCGATTTGGCTCAGCGGTAGAGCATCGGTCTGAGGACTGAAAGGTCCCAGGTTCTGTGCTCACTTCGGCAGCACATATACTGAAAGGTCCCAAGTTCAATTCCGATCAAGGGCATGTACATTGGTTGCGGGCACATCCTGGTAGGGGGTGTGCAAGAGGCAGCTGGTCGATGTTTCTCTTCAACGTTTTTAGCTCTCTTTCTCCCTTCCTCTCTGTAAAAGATCAATTTTAAAAAAAGTGAAAATTCTCAAAAAAAATAATAATACCCTTAATTTACTTTCTAGATAACTAATGCATTTTTATCTATGTAAATTTTCCAAATTGGTGTTATACATCCTATTTTGTAATCTCATACTTCTATGTTAGTATAATTCTATAGCATTTGTAAGTACTGTATAGCATTTAGAGAACATGGTTTTGTCTGATTTAGAGATTTTTCCCATTGATACAAGAATGGTGGTATGAAAATATGGGTAATTTCTACTAGTCTTTACGGATACATCCCTAAAGATATATCTGCCTATCACAATCCACAGTTGTTCCCATGAGTTTGCAGCAAAAATACTTAATTGCAAGACAGTTGAAAGTGTGAAAACATTAGACTTTGAATAGGTAAGAAAGAGTCTTAAGTAGATGATGGGAAGCAGCTCAGTAACAAGTTGGTTTACATTACATTAATAATATGTAATATTTTGTTTAAAAAAAAAAACAACGAAGACCTGAGCCCAGCCGAATGACTCAGTGGTTGAGCATCGGACCAGAAGGTCACAGTTCGATTCCCACTCAGAACACATGCCCAGGTTCGGGCTTGATCTCCAGTGTGGGGTGTGCAGGAGGCAGCCAATCAATGATTCTCTCATCATTGATGTTTCTGTCTCCCTTTCCCTTTCAGAAATCCATAAAAATATTTTTTTAAAAAACACATGAAAAATAAATATAAAGTCAAACCATTTAATTCCAAAAGATAAAGATAGTTATTTTAGACATGATTTACTTCATATATATTTCAGTATTTATTTGTAAAATGTGTTAATATTTGCTTAATAGTTCACCCTGTGATTATGCCATAATTTGGCCGTTAAAGTTAGATGTATGAGATATATATATATATATATATATATATATATATATATATTATTGATTTTTTACAGAGAGAGAGAGGAATAGAGAGCTAGAAACATCGATGAGAAAGAAACATCGATCAGCCGCCTCCTGCACACCCCCACAGGGGGGTGCAACCAAGGCACATGTCTTTGACCTGAATCGAACCTGAGACCCTTCAGTCCGCAGACCAATGCTCTAGCCACTGAGCCAAACTGGTTTCAGCTGTGTGTGATTTTTAATTAGGAATAATTTTACCCACAGTCAAGTACAGTATATTGATCCCCATATACCAGTTAGTCACTCCTAACAGCCACAAACTGTTGCCCAGATTATTTTGAAACAAAGATTAACATTTTTAAAATTGTATATATGTGAAATTAAAAGTAAACAAAATTCGCTGAGACTGGGTTAGCTCAATGGATAGAGTGTTGGCTTGGGGACTGAAGGGTCCTGGGTTCGATTCTGGTCAGGGGTATGTACCTTGGTTGCGGGAATATCCCCAGTGGGGGGTGTGCAAGAGGCGGCTGATCGATGACTCATCGATGTTTCTAACTCTCTATCTCCCTTCCTCTCTGTACAAAATCAATCAAAATATATTTAAAAGTGAACAAAATTCACATAAAGCAAATTTAAGTTTTACACATTTTGTCCGGATTGGATGCAAATTCAATTTAACTTAAGTTTTCTTAT